ACTTCATAGGTATATACTCCTTCTGCAGTACATAAAACAGAACACCTTGGCTTGCAGTTGTAACATAACAGAATATTGAAGTCCATAAGTTTTAATAATGTCACAAAGTGTTTGAGAATCTGAGTTTATACATAAAAACATATTTTAAAACATACAGACCAATATAAAAATCCCCAAATGCTTAGCTCTGCTTAGTTTTGTTTAGTTCAAGAGGACAGTTAGATACATTAATCCTGCTCTTGTCTTTGTCTTGTTAATGTCTTGGAGTATTTGAGCAAAATCTTCTTGTGTTTCCCATGAAGCTGATGTGACTCCATATTGAAGACATTTACAAACCCAAGCAGGAAAACAAATCAGACTCTAAGAAAAAAAGAGCAAAACAAATCATACCACAGACCATCTCACGTACCTTTTTTGGATATTGGATGTAAATGATCCAACATACTCCCTGTTTATCTTAACGACCGCTGAGGAAAAATGAGAACATTCATGTGTGAACTCTTTCTCTGCTACCACTGACCTACTCCTCTTTTTTTTCAGGGGGATATTCAGCAGCTTTTGATAGTGGCAGACCCAAGGGCAGCCTACGACTACTGTGAAACCTACAGCCCTGATTGTGAAGCACCCAGCCACCACGACACACCACAGGCTCAGGAACCAGAAGCAGAGGTCAGCATCTTTTGATCTATTTTTGAAAAAAAAAAAAATAAGGATCAGGTTTCAAGAGTTATTTCTATTTGGAATAAATTCAGGAAATGATGTAGGAGCTGGAGTGGCAGTTACTTGGAAGGATAATCTTACATTTCCCTACTATATGGTATGATTAGAAAAGATCAAGAAGGAGTAAACAGAAAGCTTGGATTCCTGGAAAGATACAATGCATCAATAATAGGATATTTAACTAGAAAACTATGTTAAGTGCAGTATTTTTTCCTTTTAACTTGATTAAAAAGGCTACTACTTAAACTATTTGGTGTTTTGAAAAATTGCTAAGTAACAAAAAACTGAAAATATTTCCTCTAAAATGTGCTATGTGAACAATCCTTTGGCTATAAATTTGAAACTTAGAGACAGAAAAGCTTGCGTAAAGTTGTCAGAGCTGCCTCTTTCTCCAGTCTGTTTCACTAGTGGAAAAACAATGAGATATCAAAATACATGGCTTGGTTTGAAATAAAAATTTTATTAGTGCCGTCTCCAAAACATCACTCAGAACCTCTTTAGCAAGCTTTTAGTTTCTTTTCATCTCAACTCTTTGTGCTGTTTTACAGTTTTATCTTATGGTAAATATTTTCCCTCAGTGTTGCATTAAATAACTCACTTTCTTTTTGCACTAAACTCATTTTGGAACATTTTCTTCTTTTTTTTTTTTTTTCCTTCCTCAAAGTCTTAGCCTACTTTGGAGTGGCCCTAAGATTTATATCACTAACGAGTTCAGCAGGCTCGGCCCAGACTCACAGGGAAATTTAAGCCTTTCCTTCCCTGACTACTTCCAGTACCTGGAAAAGCAGACTTTGGATTTTTGTTCAGAATAAAATAAAGAGAAACTGGTCCGTTATTCCAAGCTATTGGCAGAACAGAGGGTACCAGCACTGGAAAATATCGCTTCATCATCAAGCTGCTTTCCTCAGCCAACATAAGGAGGTTGTCAATTCCACCCAGCAGGGAGCAGTTTGGCTTTACAGACATTGTAAATCTTGTTTATTTATTGTTTTTTTTCTGTACAGTTAAAATTGGAATGTTCTGCCTATATTCCAGCTCAGTGTGCTAAAACTTACTGAGACTTAATAATGTAAAAGAGAAATTCTGTAATGCAGCAATTGCTTTTATAATGAGATTCCTTAAACAATTAAAGTATAAAACCGTTTCTGAAGATTTCCCATCTTATGAAGCTTACTGACTTTGGTGTCCTCATCAACATTTCTGTAGGTAGACTAAGAAAAACTCAGAGTGGTACATTTATTAAGCAAATATATTCTATTTTCAATTTATTTTTTTTTTATCTGGCTATTGTAAAACTATTTTGCTTGGCTTTAACACTATAAATAACTACTCTTTGCTTCCCTTTGAGCCTGTCTGGATCTTAAAGCCGAGGCTTCTTTTATGTGACCTTTCCCCCTCCAGACCGCATAACTGAGGCCAACGTTTCACCAAGCGCTTGAGCTTGTATTATTTTTATAAGCTTAGCAGCTGCCTAGAGACTAATATTCATGCCTTTGCTAACCGGGTATTACATAGCATGACTGCTCTGTTATAATAATTTACTTTGCCTCTTTTTAGACAATGCAAGGACAATGAAATCTCTTTCACAAAGGAATGTAGAAGATGACTGTAATCATTATATGTACAGTAGATCATGTATGCTTCCAGTATTGTACAGTAGAAGTAGCTGGAGAAAAAAACCTCAGAAGAGAATCTAAGAACAATTGATTCTAGCTAGTAATGGCTTTATCAGAAGCATAGACACTTCGGAAAAGAATGCTTTAAAAAATAAAAAAAGCTCTCTGTAGGAGACACAGACACAGAACTCAGCAGACTGTAATTATGGGAGTTCTTGAATAGAACTATGCTACATGCTTTTAACAAGTCCTACAGGTCTTGCTAAGACTTTTCTGTCTGCAAGTTGAAATGGATTATGTTAAAACTGTTTAAACTACAACTGAAACAAAAATGATTTTGTTTGCATAATTTTGCTCTTGGTTATGACTCTAACTAGGCTTCATTGGGATAACAATTTTTGAAACTTGGTCCAGTTTTCATTTAGGGCTTTCTGTCTGGAGTTGGCATGTTCTGCTTGTCCATGCATGGGTTCTCTGAGCTTCGTCCTGATTAGGGCTGGGTAAAAAAATGAATTTAAACGATTTTGAATCGATTACTTTACATTTTTGCTGAATCTATGTCTAGGGAATGAGATCGATTAGTTTTATTGTGACACACGTGACGTTCACACTCAAATGAGCAAGAAAGATGCACTCAAGATTACTTCAAGCCAGGCAGCTGCAAATATAGCCAATAGATTGACTGAAGACATTAAGAAATGGGGGTTGACCAGCAAACACCCTGTAGTTGTTACAGACAACACTGCAAATATGGTTTGTGCAGTGGAGATAATGCAGCTCATGCATGTCTGCTGTGTCACGTCTGCTTGCTCGAGTGAGGCTTCACTTTTTCACTTTTCACAAACAAGTTTGCACTTAAAAACAGTTTTGTTCACACCTCAGGCTTAAACTGTGACTTACAAGTTTGCACTTTGTGTTTAATGTGACAGGAAAAAATAAAATACATGAGTATTTTAAAATACAGTTGAACCACTTTCATTACTGTAAAAACAGATCAAATCGAAATTAATCGATTTAGAATTGTATGAATCAAAATTGAATCGATTCAGGACTTTGGCGAAAATACCCAGCCCTACTCCTGGTAACTTAAAACATCCATGTATGCTAATTGATTTCAGTGAATTGTTTTTGAATAAAAGTGTGTGTGCTCTTTGTTATTTGTATATCTGTACTGTATATCTCTAAAAGTATTGGAGACCTTTTATCACTTTCTGCATATTGACATCTAAAAATAGGCGCAAAACTTCCAGCAAACATTATAAGGGGGTATAGACAAGACAATAAGTGGATGGATGAGTCAAACTGAAGTTTCCTAACTGCAGTTTAACCATATTCACCTCAAAACTGCTAATAAAGGAAATGCCATAAACTCCTCCATTCTCGCTTTGCCCTCTGTAGCTCTTTATTTTTTATTGCTCCAGCTATTAAACCTGTGGTTTTACCTCCTGCCTTATAAATTCTGTGTATTATACATCAATAAATATGGGATACATGACAGTAAAATAGTTTTCTCTAAAGAGCCAATAATGACAACTGCAGGTCTTTTGGTTCCCAGCATTAGGCATCAACTGCGGATCAGCCTTAATCAGCTTAAAATTTGAGAGCTTTAAACATCCTGTGTAAAAAAAAAACAAAAAAATACAGTAGATAGAGACATGGCCCGGAATGATGTTTACTTACTTTCACCAACTTTTGCTCAAACTTCAAGTTCAGAGTGATTGCAAAAATGGAAAAACAATAAATACAATCATAGTGATGGTGCATATGGAAAACAGCTGTTTTGGCTTGGATGCGAAGTTAAACCATCTCCTGATCAAAAAGCATATTACATCAGCTGTTAGTGTTCAAACCGGAGGATCAGACTGTTTTTTTATGACTGACAAGGATTTTTTTACATAATGTATTAACATATGCATATTTCTTCTTCACACAGTACCCAATCTATGATTATGGTGAATTTTATGACTATGGTGAAGGGGAGGTAACCACTGATGCTCCTTCTACCTCTGGAGCAAAGGTTGAGGTAAATTAATGCATCTTTATTGTTTTTTTTTAAGGAAAATATGTACTTATTAATATTTTTTATTCAAATGTTTTTTGACTGCTAAATATTAATTGCTTATTTTCTTATATTAATGGGTCATTTCTGCACAACTACTATACATGCCACCCCAAAGATCTTTGTAGAATTGAATTTACAGTAGTAGTGTAATAAATGACTCTTCCTTTTTATCTAGTGGGGAAGGTAACGTAATTGTGTTAAAATCAAGCAACTGTTTTTATCAGGTCTTACCTAACTTTTAAAACTCTTGTTACTCAAATCTTAGACAGCTGGTGGAGACTACTACACTGGCGAGTACGATTACAGCATAGTGGATGGTAAACAGCCTCCGACTGAGTCTTCCAGACAAGGAGAGGTAACCGTTCTACTTTCCTGTTCTTCTGTCTGATTCAATGTTAACTGTTTAGTGAGAACGTTATTATTTTGGGACACTATTGAGGGTTAACCAACTTATAATAGAAGATTGCTGAGTTTTTCTTTAGAAATTTATTTAGTTTAAGTGATGCTGTTTGCATTTTTTTTTAAATAAACCAATTTTTTGAAAAGTCACTGTTTATTTAGTTCAGATTTTGGATTGGAAATGGATCTATCAATTCTTAGTCAAGCATGATGTGTTTTAGATTTGCCTTATCAAAAACACGGAACACTATTTCTAAAGATATCTTTGTCTTTTCCCAAAAACAAGAAGAGGTTGTGGGTTATTGCTTTTTTTTTATTCTTGTTCCATTCACTCAAGTTTAATTAATCTCTGTAACAATGGCTGTTTTTGAGTCAAAGGTTAATAAATCAAATACTCAATAATAAAATTAGCACACATTGCGTTTTACCCCACATTTTCCAGTTGAAAAACATTTAAACTTTTCAGTAATAATCTCTGAAAACCTTTCTTTACTATTCTTATAAAGCCAACATAAGCTGCTCAAACTCATTTCAAGGGTTGCAAATGGCACATAGGCCTTAAATTGACACCCCAGTATCGATATGTAATTTTAAACTGGATAAAAGAATTTCATTCCTGTGTAAATCGTTTGTGTCGGTGCCATAAAGCTTTTAATGAAATTGAAAAACATTGTTTTGCTAAAGGAATAATTTTTCTAAAAAGATTATCTTTTGTACTAACATTTGCTCCATGTCTCCTTCTTCTCCTAAACGCTTGGGATGATTCAAGACCTATGATACAGAGATTGTGGACGATTACATCACTGGTGTAGACGAGGTTGGCGTGGACCCAACCGTTGCTGTTGATGTTCCTGTGGACCCCCCCGTGAAGGTGGATCCTGAAACTGAAGTGACAGAGTTTAAGGAAGAAGACCTAAAAGGATACGATACAGGGGACTATGGGGAGAAACCCTACGGCGGTACCAATTATGGGGATTACACCGATTATGGTGATTACAATCCCACCGATACAAAGCCAACCCCTGAAGTTTATGAGGATGAGATTGGTCCTGGTGTTCCAGCAAAGACCGATTTCAGTGTAAGTGGTTATGCTTAGAAATGACTGAAGGTGTAAAGTTCTAGAAGTAGTTCCAGACATGTGCTGACATGTCCTGCTCAGAGCAGGAGTAGTAAAAGATATTAGAAAATTATAATAGAGATTGCATCTATGTAACAAAAACTGATTGCAATATAATTCTTTATTTGTGGCGGCGTAGTAGCTGTAGCGCTAGAGTGGGTGTGCTCTATCCAGAGAATACATGGAGTTTAAGGGGTTTGATTCCTGCCATGTTTCTTTTTTAAACAAAAGGATCAAATTGATGAAAGGAGTTGGACTTTAGAGAAATACTGCTAAAGTTTTAGCTCAACCTGTCACTAAAAATACAGTTTCATTTTACATCTGTTTCCTTCTGCATTCCTCCATCCACAATGAAAATTATTTCTCTTAAGACATTGTAGAGTTACGTTGTACACGGTTAAAATAATATTAATAATAATTTTGATATTAATAACTGCAACTCAGTGGATCTTCACCAGCTTGGCGGCAATGCCATGTTTGTCATTTTTCTTTCTTTTTTTTTTTTTTTCAAAGGTGCCATTTCATTTTTTATGATTTAAGCCTCAGGCTTTCTATGTTCACCAGCCAGAAACCCAAATATACACAAGCTCTTACAAACACACCTCTTGTCTTCTTTAGATAAACAGCTGTCAGCATTTAGCTTGCACTTTGTAGGCTTTCCACCCGAGAGGCCTCTGTTGTTTATCAGACATTACCTTTTCCTGGATATTCCAGCAGTAATCTGTTTTCTTTATCTAATGACTTACTTCTTGGCAGTTGATAAATTTTTTCTTTTTTTGTTTCCATCAAAGCCATTGCTGCAGTCAGAGAAAAGTTGCTGACCCCAGCATTATTTCCCTGACAAAAAAAACAACAACTAAATCTGCTGATTCAGGAGGTGACATGGTTGTAATATTAAAACTGTTAAATTCCTTTGGCTTCCTGTTTCTTTTTTTTTTTTTTTTTTTTGTAGAGAGGTTTGGAATTGCGTTCGCTTTTTAAATTATTTTCTTTTGAAGTTATTAAATGAATAGTCTCAGGTAACAACCCTATATAAGTGCACAGATGAAGTGTTTTTTTTTTCATTTAGGCACTTTTTAACAATTCCATTGAAAATAGGCGTTATACAGTCTGCATGTTCTCACAGATATGCCACTTTTTACATTGTTTATATCTTTCTGTGGAGCACTTTAGTCTTCCTGATGTTGTTGGAAAGTGCTATACAAATAAAATTTGATTGACTGATTGATTGGATACCAAATACAGAAATTATGCTCATCTCATATTTAACAATTAGGATAATACAGTTGAGATAATGAAGTATATTTAAAGACTTTTTAAATAGACTTTTGCAATTAAGGGAACTTCAGTTTCCAACAGTTTGTGGTGTTTTTTAGTGGTATTATTAACGCTTAAAGTTGCTCACATTTTCTTTTTGTCTTCAGGTAAGTGGGGGTCAAAGTTACTTGGGACAAAAAGGAGAGAAGGGTGAACCTGCAGTCATTGAGCCGGTGAGTTTACATTTAATGTGCCCTTATTTGAAAAAACAATCAGATAACTAAAAAGATTTCTGCCCATAATGTTTCACTAAACGAATTTAGAATACATAAAAAAGTTAATCGGCTTATTCTAACGACCCAATATTTTACTGATTTACCTGCATAAACTTTAATGCATGTACCAGAATAAAGTCATTATATTTAGATCAACATAAGTATAATTTTCCAAATTTGCTCGACCTATCTAAGCCACATTTAGTCAGCATTGTTAAAACAGCTGCTAAACCATTGGTGAGCATGCCAAAAGCTTGATCAGGAAGATAAACCCTGCTCTGAAGGTTTTTTTAAGCAAAAATGTCAAAATTTATGTTATACCTATTTTACGTATTAAATCAACAGAGGTGAACTAGAAATCAGTTGGCTGAAAGACAAATCAAGAAGTGGATGTGTGAAAATGCCTACTTCGCTCAAATATTTCCTGTTTGGACTGACATTTTCTGGTTTCTTTGTGGAATCTTTGTAAGCATGAATGAGGTAAAGGGGGGTCAAAGTCATCTCGCCAACGCAGCCCGGAGTTCTAATGTAGCAATGACAGCTGTTTAGTGAGACCAGATGGTGACAACACACCAGAGGCTGTGCAATGTGTCGTTTTAGTCTCCTCAATTCTCACTATTAACACACACTGGACAAATTGCTCAAAAGTAGACTAGAACAATACAAAACTTTATCTTTGTTAGTTAACCGTGGTGAGCTGCCTTTGCTGTGGGTTTAATAATTACAAACTATATGTGGGTTTGTCTGAGTTTTGTCACACATCACTGATATATTTCACACTTTGGAATCGGAAATTTCCAAGAGCTTTTTTTTTCGACCAGCGAGTTACATTCCATCCCACTTGTTCCATGATACCAGCCTTTTTTATTAAAGCTTAGTTGGCATAGGACATGGCTGGGTTGATTGGTAATTAAGCAGCAACTAGATACAGCTTAGCCTTCCTATGAACATCATTTTATCTAGTCCACTGGATTTATTCAAATATCATATCTTTAATTTTCTTTTTAAATTAGTGTGCATTGACTGAGTTCTTCTCTTCCCTTTCTCAAGACACCTTACTTTTACTTTATTTTTTTGGAGGATTTTACGGTACTTGTAGCTAATTTTTTTGACAGTAGGCTGACATTAAGGGGATATGAGAGAGGGGGATAGACATACGGCAATAGACCACAGTTTAGATTCGAACCTGGGTCGGCTGCGTCGATGACTAAGGCCTCCGTACATGGGTCGTGCGTGCTTACATTTATTAACTACTTAATCAGCTAAGTAAAAAATAACAAACCACATCTCCTCTGCATTGATGGGATAATATTAAGAGACTTGAAATTTTGCAGATATAAAAAAATCTCTGTTTTATTCAAGATGTTTAAGAGAAAGAAAAGTAATAGACTGGACTTATTAACAACCGACCTTGCACAATCATAGACAGGTTTCAGATATTATAGGCTAACAATGGAACCAAACGACCCGCTCGTCAGTTTTAATTTGCATGTTTCCAAGCAATACAAGGCCTTGGCTATATAAAGCCTCAAACTCACTGTGAATAAAGACATTTGAATTGAGAAAGATTCCCGGACGGGAAGCGAAACGTCTTCAACCTTGGAAAACAAGTCCAGTGGATTGTTTTTTAAACTTTTTTAAAACTTTTACAGAACTTATTAAGGGAGTTATGGAGCTTCCTTAATGTAAAAATGCTTTCATATTTCATAATACATGATATTCTTTTTTTATTTTGGTTAGAATCTGAGCATCTTATTACCATCCATGATATGCAATAATACTGTAGATGGCTTGTTATAAAGGAAAAGCAGAATGGCCAACTAATAATGGACAAACCAGCTGACCTGTGGGAGGATACACTAAGGGTTAGGAGTTTTGAGATGGACATGAAGCATGTGCACCACTGCATTTTAGTGCCTATTAGCATCTCAGAATCTAACATATTGCTGTAATGTAGCTAACAGATGGCTAGATTTCTTTAGTTCAAAAAAACAAAACAATAAAAAAGCAACCTGTGTCTGTTATGAGATCTATATAGTCTATAGCTGAGCTAAAACCAGAAGGAATAACATGATGTGGATGGCTGCCTTACAGACAGCAGTTAACTTCCTTTGAGATTGAATGCCACCTATTTGGACAAAAAGATATGGTTTTGTTGTGTTAACTAAAACACTTTAGTGCTTTCTTTAACTTAATCTCCAAGCATGGTTTTGATTGTAAAAAGGGTAATGTTCCAACAACAGATCCAGCAACAAGATTGAAATCTCCCAAAAGAACTTAAGATTGTGATTTCCATTAACATTTACACTAGCAATGATGGCCTTTATACCTTTTGTTGCATCCCAAATCAATTAAATTCACAAATCAGATCGGATGTTATTGTTCTGATCCATAGACTTTAGCTTTGAGATAACTTTAAAACCAAAAAACCCAAATGTCTACATTTTTCCCCACTACTTCTAATTGTCTTTTGGTTAATAAGCTGTCATTAATGCTACTGTTTGCCCCCTTTCTCCTCCATTTGCAGGGGATGCTTTTAGAAGGACCCCAAGGAGCCCCTGGCCCAGCAGTGAGTATCACGTTCTCCCACACTTCTGTCTGCCTTTCACAGATGGAGAACAGCTAAAGACGGAAAAATGTTTTTATGGAAAGATCGTCAGTGGAGCTTGAGTTGAGACGAAATGTCAAACGTGTATTTGTGCACGGAAGTCTGTATGTCTGTTACTCTGTATGTGCATTTCGAAGAAAGTCAGGGGGGGTATGGGGGTTGGGGGGGCTTACTTTTTCTGAGTTTTTTTTCCTTTGAAATGATGGCTTTGCCTCTGTCTCTTTTGGCCTCCACATGCGTCGCTCTGGGTAGGCTGACTGTGCTGGAAATGCTGGTTTTCAGTGGTTTTGGGGTAATATGCCAAATTTATTCACGTCTGCTTTCAGGGTGTTCCTGGTAACCCAGGATTGCAAGGACCCCCAGGTACCCCAGGAGATCCTGGTGAGAGGGTGAGTGAATGTTGGACTCCAATGTATATCTTACTGTAGTTGAGCTAGAAGATCTATGATTACCAATTTTTTTTTGTTGCCAAAAGGAAATGTTCATATCTTAATAGGAGAATATAATACATTCAAAGCAATAAGGTGAGTTTCCAATTTACAATGAGTTAGGGGAAAATTAGGTTCACTTAGCTTTTACAGCTGCTGACAGTAGTTGACAGAAAATTACATACCTGCCAGCTGTATCTAAGCTTAGACCTAAATATTCCTCTCCTGAAAAACCAATGGGTGACATCACCACACCGCCTCTGTGGCATCAACATAAAATTACACCAAATATCACCTTACATTTTTTTTTTAATTTGGAAAGTTTAAGATGATCCGTTGTGTTGAAAATGTTTGCTGAGAAGATCGAGTTTTCTGTGAAATCTGGAGTCTCGATTTTTCAAGCAGGGTTGGATTTCAGAAACATATTTTTTTTACTTGATGATAGAATCCTGCCCTGTGCTTAAAGTGTCAGTTGAATTCTGTTTTATTTCTAAAAAATGTACTTGCAGACCAAACTAGACATTTCCTAATGTGTTCTACAGTTTCAACCAACACAAAAGCTTTGTTGTTCCACTTAGCTGCAGTGATTAAAAAAAACAACTTTTGTTCATTCAGCAAGCCTGTCCACCCACCTCTCTTCCCTCCCTTGAGAGAAAATCACCGAGGACTGACAGGGACATTAGACCTACTCTTTGCGGTTTTCCATTACGCAGTTTCCGTCTTTTGCCTTTTCTCCCCTTAGTGCTCTCCTCCAGCCATCATTAACGCTAGATGCCGCTATGCTCATAATCACAACTGTGGATAGGGTAAATTCACTTCCACTGGGAAAAAAAGCAAATGGAAACACATGGCATCAATCCGAGCCAGGATGAGATTGCAGCAAGTGGTGAGATTGCAAAGTAGATCCTTCTGTCTGTCAAAGTAGTAGGCATTGCCTTAAGCCTTAAATTAATTTTAGATGGTTTGTGTATCTGTTTGTTTAAATTTGTGTAACTTTAAGGTCATTATCTGCTATAAATATCTCTTTTGCAATAGATTTTTTTTTTTTTGTAGTTTACAAAAAAATAAAGTCAACTCCTTCTCAATCAATAGCAATGTTATTAGGTACAGACATTCTGGGTGTGCCTCTAGTAGCTTACCACAGACAATGTGTTACTTTTAAGATAATATAGCAACCACTAAATTTATATGTAAGACAGATGTGGGTTGGTGATGTCACCCATTGGAATGTACAATCGAGGAGTATTTGAATGTCTAAGCTCAGCATTTGAGTGCCATTTTAGGATTCTCTCTGGGGTTTATTGTGTCAACAAATGATGGATCAAGCTAACTGAAGCACCCTGGGATTCCACATCAAAATACATAATAAAATCTGCTGCCACTCAAGAGGATAAGCAACGTCAAGCTGTCAGGCCATTGTTATCACAGCTGGAAATGTTTCAGTTTCAGTTAAGAGTTATGTGGGAATTTACTTGGGTTGAATGTATACCAAAAGCTCTTTTGATGACGAAGCGTCCACAAACTACTACCAGCTCCCAGAGTAGATGCGATTAAAGTCGCCCCCTGTGGCGTCTATGTCATGATACCCTAAAGGCATAACCGGCTACACACCGGCAAGTCAACACATGCGAGTCCATGCAGACTCCATCATTTTTAACACACATGCGCCACAACAAACAAAATCATTATCGGACTTCAGTGTTGCGGTTCTGTTCTTGCAATCTGTTTAGGAAGTTATGGATTTATTGTGTAATATACTCTTACTAATTGCTGCTCCTTCCTTGTAGGTCCACATAAAACACCTTTTTCTCTCTTCCGCTTTCATTGTCTTATGATTTAATCTCTTCTCCCTTCCTTTTTCTACCTTCTTTATTCTGTGAGAGTGCTATTGCACTGCCCAGTGGATTGATATAACTATTAAAATGCCTTTTAAAGCTTTGTCAGCTTCAGGCAGTTTTATCTTTAGACTTAAACTTTTCCTATACGGATACTGTATTCTACTTCTTGCGGATGTGAGTTTCAAGCCAGTGTTGAGTGACCTTCATACAATATGATTTTCTTTCTTCAATAATTAGTTTGGGCAGATCTTCAAGAATAAATAAAATGATGCAAACATTTAAATTATGTAAGAAAATGTTGTCGGGATTTTGTTAGTGCTAGATTGTGCTATGCATGATTAGACATTAGAGTATCTACTGTATCCTACTGTGGACGGTACCTTATATTGTTATTATTAAGATTTTGTGGTTGAATATTCTGTTGGTGACATAAACACATTTTTCCTACTCTTTAATCTCTTTAACACAGGTGATGCTCCTTAGTAACGTCATGACACTTTACATTAATAACTAATCAATTAATGGCCACTAGTTATATTGTGTATTCTTTTACAAATTATGTCCTTCCATTCTTAAATGTAAACATGTTTTTCCTCTCACTTTATTCCTCAGGGTCCTCCAGGTCGTCCGGGTATTCCAGGTTCAGATGGTGTCCGTGGGCCTCCAGGAACCATTCTGATGCTACCTGTAAGTCCTGCTGCTTTCTATGTACCTTTTAGCTGTTTTTCTTGTTTTTGTTTTTTTTCACATATTGCATAACTTGTAGTCACTTGGCCATGGACTTGCTTTGGTGAGCAAATGTAAGTCTTGTCAACAGTAGGCCAGGGACTGCAGCCTTATTTTCTTTCGGTAACAAATCACTTGCCTTGTAAATGTCAGCCAGCTTAATGGAGTAGAACCAACGACGGAGGCTTTGAAGTGCTCAGTCAGAGGCTTGTATTTGTGTGCGACGGTGATGTGATCGTAAGGTGTGGGGTTAACAGGTTTAGTAGCATGTAGAAAAAACATTATAAACATTATAAATAAAATGTGAAAATACTCTCATGGAGTGATTGTTTAATTTGTCATTCTGTAAAAGCAAAGAAGGGTTAATAAAGTTTTTTGTTGTTTTTCTTTTCTTTTTTGTGGCCAAAAGTTCCGTGCAGGTGGTGAGTCACATAAGGGACCTGTAATAACAGCTCAAGAAGCTCAGGCTCAGGCTATTCTATCTCAGGCTCGAGTAAGTATCAGTCAAAGCTTTTTGTCCAGAACATTTCTATCCTTTCTTGTTATGATGATGTTATGATTTGACTTATGCAAGTTCAATTCTGCACATATACTTAACGTTACCTATGTAATGTCATTTTCAGAATATTTTCTGTCCTTTTTTCATTTTCTCGATGTTATGACTTGACTTACGCAAGTTCAATTCTAAACACATACTTTACATTACCTACTAAAGAACTTTAACCAACAACTACATAAATAAATAAATGGGATAAACAACATTGCAAGGATTCTTATCAGCAAATAAAGATAACTTTTTGTTCAGCTAAGTAGTGCTGAAAGCCACAGTAGACATTCCTACCCGATCATGGGTTTTGACAAACGTAGCAGTGTTGAAAACAGGTCAAACTTTGCAGCTTTTCATCTAGTTGTGATATATTGTCACGCACATGGAGGTGATTAGTCTTACACAAACACTGAGTATTTAAACATTTAGAACTCTGCCCCCGTAGTGCTTTTTCAGGGTTAGAAAGCATTTGTCACCTTTTAGTACTGAGCTTCTCATGCTGACATTCGGTTTGGCAGTGTGGAACAGAAAATAAAATACTTTCCCATTCTGTATCGGTTTGTTCTTTCGGAGTTGTTTAGGCAGAGCATTTGTTAATTATTTCCTGGTGTTCTGTTATGCATACATTGGGACACTGTATACATGAATCAGTTTCTTTTTTTGAATAATTTGTCATTGTTTCAACACACTAAAAATAAATACCAGACACTTCTGGCTGTTCCACATGTGGTCAACTAAGTAGAAAAAAAAAAAAATACAACACTGAAGTGGTGACGTGTGCACGAGATATGAACACTGCTCTCTGAGAGACTATAATTATTTTTGTCCCTGTGTTTTTCCTTTTTACCATCAATAGGTAATTTATTAAATAAAAAAAACTAAATAAATACAAGCAGCCCAGTTTTTAATTTTTTATTGTTTATTCATTTGTGGTTTATAAAAACAGATGGATTTTACTTGAAAATAAAAACACTGTTTGGTGTTTATGGAAATTCACGCTTAAAAAGAAATTAGTATCTCTGTTCTGTTCATCGATTTTGATAGTATTATGTGTTAAAAAGTAAAAAAACTAAAAGCTTAGGCTTTGTGAATAATAGACTAGACTATAATAACTATTAATTCAAAAATTACATCATTATATAGGACTGAGACTGCAGAGGTCATCTGTCATTTGGAGTGCAAAAATACAACACTGATTATAATAAAAAGAGATTTGGCTTCATAAACAGGGAAACAAACAAACAGACAGACATGAATATGTTTATACAGTGTAGAATGTTTATGATATATTGATTGTGATTTTTCCATAGCTAACAATGAGAGGCCCCCCAGGACCGGCTGGGCTGGCAGGAAGGTCTGGACCATTGGTGAGTATCTTTCATTCATTTACATGTAAACATGAAAGGAAGTCATTGTTAACAAGGTCTACATGAATCCTCCTCATTTAATAAAAAATAAAATAAACTGCATAATTAAAGGTTAATAAAAAAATATTAACATTATAATTCAAATGCTGAATACCAAATGAACAGAGTGTTTTCATTCCCTACATTTTTGTAAGTATTTCTCTTTGAAAAGCATATATTTTCTTGCCTTACTTAGCCCGTCTAACTGGACATTTAATATTTTATATTGTGAATAGAGGCAGCACCTTGCTGCAGTGATAGAGATTACCCGAGATATCTATTTTAGAGTGCTTTAAACAACTCAGATTTTCACAGACTGTAAACATTTTAAATCTATGATGTTGTATCAGAAAAAGCTTGAACACTCTAATGAGCCTTCCTGTTATGTGCTAAAATACTGTCTCTCTCTTTCCTTTGAAGCCCAAAGCACATCTTTATTTTAATCACTTTTCACATTTCTCTGATCCCTCTTACTGACAGTTAAACAATATTATGATTGATAATGATGGCACTGAGAGCACACTGATGATTAATTTGTTCACCTCTACTTGTTAACTTTTCTTTAGTTGCTTTGGAAGGAAAAGCCATTTCTCTATGTGTGTAGTTCATAGAGCAGGACTATACGTCACAACAAAAGTTAAAGAATAAAGAAAATAAATAAATATTTATTTTTGCCTCAACCACTTTTTAACTTAACCACTTAGAGCAAATGAGACACAGCATTTCTTGAGTGTCTTAAGTGATATAAGTGAAAGGGTCTGTGATAACTCCTCAATAGCAGAGAGATTTTGTACATATGGAAATATTATTAAAAGACAGGGCTGAGGGTTTGTTGCTTGTCCAAAATCCATCTTTAAGGGATGATATTAGACAGATTTTTGCTACACACTTCTCTCTCTTTCTTTCTCTCTGTCTCTCTGAATGTATAATGTATTTAATTTTTGTTCTGCTTCTATGTAGGGACCTCCCGGGGCTCCCGGACTAAAAGGTGACACCGGTGACTCCGGGCCACAGGTGAGAGAACTACCATTCTGTTGGTTTTTACAGTGATACTTTTGGTGTTTAATAAAATTGTTTTTATTCCTGCTTTTATCAGCAAAAAGTAAAATTTACGCATTCTCTTTAGGGACCAAGAGGTCTTCAAGGTCCAACTGGTCCCCCTGGGAAAGCAGGAAAAAGGGTAAGGATCGAAGTGGCCTTATGAATGAACTATGACTCTAAGTGTAGCTCCGCAGCATTTGTTCTGTGTTTTGGAGTGACTGTCCCAATCCCATGGAAAATCTGTTTTTCTCTGAAACTGGTTTCTTGCAAGCAAGGTGACCTAAACACCAGTTATGTCTGGAGGAATGATCCAAATTTAAAACAAAGCTTGCAGGAGGGATATCAGAAATATTTTGACTTAAGTTATACAATTGAAATGCCAAATTAACCAAATACAAATCAAATTTTATCTGTAATCTTAGCTAACCTAAAGTTATGTTCAGTTTATTTAAGTATAAACTAGTGAAAAGAAATGATGTGTGAACGTCCTCTAGGGTCGCAACGGAGCTGATGGTGCAAGAGGAATGCCTGGAGAGTCAGGAGCCAAGGTGAAGCAGTTTTACTCAATTTTGGATTTGTCAGAATATTTTTTATGAATACTAGCAACTTAATTAAAATATTTAAATGTACTCTCTTTAAATAAATGTTTTGTTTGTGTATTTTACTCCAGGGTGACAGAGGCTTTGATGGCCTCCCAGGCCTTCCAGGAGCAAAGGGACACAGAGTAAGTGGGAACAAATTAGATATCGAGTTTGCATGAAATCATCATTAATCAGAATGTACAGTATGTGTGAATTATTTTCTGTTTTTATCTAATGAAGTCTGACTTAACTGCACTATTGGATGTGATTGCTCAGCTACTGTTACTCCTCATTACATTTGACCCAGTCATGAAAGGTGGGGCTAGTTTCACATCCACCTAAGCAGTGTTTAACCAGGCCAGGAGGCGAATGATGCAAGCTGAATTTAGTGTTTGTCAAATTTGGACCAACCAAAGGGAGACATAAAGATCACAGACTGTTATTTTTAGACTGGATTTTAAACCTCATCCTATACCAGATAATTACAGAGGTAGGCCTGTCCTTATAGAGCACTATGAATAGATAAAACCATATATTGCGGGTCCATGCCCATTGTGGTGTCCATGCCAACTTTAGATTAAAGGCGGTTTCTGCTTGTTTTCGTTGTGTTTTTTACACCCTCAATTTTCCAAATTTCTGACACGAGTCATATTTTTACTTTAAACTAAAATCTTTTTTTATCAGCTGTAACGTCAAGATTATATTGTGATTCTAGCCTTTCTAATCATTGTTGTTTTTCTCATACAATCTTTTCCAGGGAGAACCAGGCCCCACTGGCCCTCCCGGGTCTCCAGGAGAGGACGGGCCAAGAGTGAGTAACAAAATGCTTACCAAATGTCTTTTATGACTATCAAATGTTTATTTATTTATTCTAATTTTGTTATATCCAAATTTTTTGTTTACTCCAAGGGTGAAGATGGCCAGGTTGGACAGAGAGGAGTGGCTGGAGAGGGTGTAAGTATGAAAGGAAAGCTCCTTGTGAAAGTTTTACATTTGATCATGCTACATTACCAAAATATTTATATTTTTTTATGTGATAGAAAGCATAATTATTGATTTTACTTTTGCAAAAGATGAATTATGGATTTTCTCTGGTTATCCTCTGTATTCAGCTCACTTGAATCAATCATGCAGTCACAGCTGAATGTCTTCCTTGGTCTTTCTCCAACCTTCACACATGTAGAAATTCAGAATTCTGCCCTTTTGTCTTTGCAAAAAACAAATAAAATAACTGTATTTCATTTAGATTAGATGGTATGAATGTGTGAACATCGACTTTTAAGCCTTGCAACACTTTTTTAATTACATTTAGATCCTTTTGGGTTTTAAACGCCTCTGAATGACATTATAGTTCTGGATGTGTGTTTGGTGTCACCTTATGAGAAGGTAAACCTTCACGCAGTAGTGCTTTCGCAACAGTGATCAATTTTCCTTTTGCAAGATTTCTTTTTATTTTGCTCCATCCATCTTCCCATCAATCTCTAACCATATCTTTCTATCATTCATTTTAGAAAAAGCCCAATTTAGATACTTTTTTCAGCTGAAAAGTCAATTAATGGTCTCTTCTGACTAGAAAATCATCTTTCACATGTTTATCCCAGTCCCCTACTGTACATGGTAAATGGCTTGTGGCTGTCTTTATGCAATGGGTTTCTCTTGACAATCTTCCAATTGTGTTCTTACCAACTAGGAGATTTATGAAGGTAATTGACTCCAGTGCATTTCTAATAATGGCATCAGAGTCTTGGGGCATGAATACAAATGAGTGCTACACTTGTTAGATCTTTTTGTGAAACCCATGTATCATTTTTCTTCCATTTCACATTTACGGTACGCACTAGATTATGTTGATGCAATCAAAGAAATCTAAATCAGTCCAAATCAAAGTGGAATATCACCTTTCTTATCCTTAGATACGATTGTCATCCTCACTTTATTGCAGCTGGAAGGACATTCCTCTGTTCAAAGACCACTGGCTCTCTAATCTTGACCTTGCTATGGAGATTTCCCATGTGAAAAATAGGACTTGGTAATGTGGTCTTTTGTGATTATCCGTGAGAAAGTTCCAGTTTCTGCCAAGTGCTGCTCAAATAGACCACAGAGTAGCACAGGGAATAATTTGCTCCCTGTTATACCCAAATTAGCATTGTCCTTTTAAAGTAATGGTTACACCTAGTTTCATCACGCACCAGAGGAAAGTAAAAAGAACAAAAGTATTTGAACAGACATTGAATGCGTGTGTTTAGATTTTAAATGGAAAACCATCTTTCATTCAACCTGGGTTGGTCTCTATTTCACAAATTTAAAGAAGCATTTAGATTCAGGCCAAAACAGTTTAAGTTTATTCTTTTATAATTAATATATTTTATTGTTACTTAACAATTTTATGTGTTGAAATGCTGTTATTACCATTATTATATCAAATTTTTATTATTATTTTATATTGTTTCTCTTTATAACAGGGTCCCAGAGGATTGCTTGGCCCCAGAGGGTCCCCAGGTCCTCCAGGACAACCTGTAAATATTATATTTTTGTTATAAACTTAGTCATCCTGTATTGAAGGATGTAATTTTATTAGCTGATTCTGTTCACTTTAGGGTCTTTCTGGACTGGATGGACAGCCTGGTCCCAAAGGAAACATGGTGAGTACATATATGCTGAGTTTGATTTAAAGGGCTGTTGAAAATCTGATATATTTCATGTCAACTTATTTTAGAGGTCTTCCTTGTCGAAGGCAATGCAGCAATGCCAGAAAGGAAGTCACAACTTAGCTGTTGATCATTGGCAAATCATATTTACTGCAGAGCCTTATATTGCTCTGTAGGTTCTGTCGTGACCTTATGTTGCCCCATCTTTTTGGTTGTATTTGGATTTTTAAGCAGAAGACACAATATTTGCAATTTCTAAAACTTAAATAATAAGTGGAGAATGGCTTCTGCAGCAGCCCTTAGGTAACTTTCTGTAATCGATGGAACTGTTAATTTTGCTGCAGGCCTAAAGGGGGAATGTCAAGCTGTCAGTTTGAAATTTTAAAGAGTGCAAATTTTATGCAGCAGTAAGATGAACTGATGCACACCAGCAAGTTCATATCTAGACCTAAGTCCGATAGAGATCCTTTGGAATAATCTGTTTTTAAAGAAATCCTTCAGCTTGGCTGATTTTAAACAATTCTGCAAAAGGAGCCATAGCGTCTAGCCAACAAGAAAAAAGAAAAAAAGAAAACTAATTTGTTACCTCCAAGAGTGGAAAAACCAATTATTAAGTTGGGGAGGCAAATATTCCTTTACATAGGAATATCTGTACTAATTTAAACTAAATTAAATCAGTAAGTTGACTTTATCTTAAACTAAAAATGTAGCATTTCTCCTTCCATTATTTGAGAGGGCGACCTGTCACTCCAAAACCTCCTAAAGATCACAGCATGTAGAGATTGTATGTGTCCTGCATTATTATTTAAATTCACTACCCCCTCTGAATAACATCACATAGAGTTTCTCATCATCATGAACTCTCTCTTAAAAAATTCTAAACTTGGAAAAAGGGAGACAGAATCACATATTTCTTTCTGTTGTGACTGTACGCTGAGTCACAGCAAGGGAGCAGAACTTTTGAAGGAAAGGACTGCCAATAAGAAGGTTTAGTAGGACTTCTGAAGGGGTGGTCCCTCTCAGTCAGAATGGGATAAATGTCCTTTTTTTTTTCTTCTTGTATCCCCTAAATGTGTACACTGGTGTGAAGCTGCCCCTGCGGTGCAGGTGGCTTAGTTCAACGTCAGACCTGGTCAATCATTTTCTTGTGTACCCTCCTTATATTCTATATGCACTCTTTGTCCTGAAGGTCATAATGACTCAGCTTTACTAAACCCTCATCATAAAGCAGCTTAATTGAATTTTAAACACTAACTCTATTTTGATTAGATGAACAACTTGCTATTCACAACTAATGAAGTGAATGCTTGAATATTATCTTTAGATTAGAGAAAAAATTATTTTATTCAGGAGATACCACTCACTCTGTTTTGACTGGAAAGTCTCTCTTAAAGCTTGAGATGTTTCTTTTTTTTGTTGACAAATTAGCATCTTGCTGAGTGTGATACTCCTCTCTATCACCTTCCAATACCTCTTCATATTCCAAGTATGAGTTTTTCTGCTGATATTTGGAAAAACAAATGTCTCTAGAACCTTTATAATTGAGTAACACACAGCTGCAGCAAAGATGATTTGAGGTACTATCATCTGCAGCACATTTATTGGCTTTGTTCAGCCTTAAAGTCAGTACTTGTACTGTAAAATGTGTCATATTATAAACTGATAGGTCATCATTTAAAAAGTATAATAACTTGATCCAAGTGTTTTTTTCAATTTTTCAAAAATAATCAAAATTGTGAGTGGCCCCTGAATGCAATTATTCCCCCACAAATTTATAATTTTAAGTAGTGTTTTTTGGGCTATTTAAGGATATATATAAGTACTTTCAGTACTGTAATTAATTAATTCAGTGGTGAACCACTTATGCATGCATTGGCGCACAAATAATGTTACGGATCAGGTAGTGTCAACCACCCCAGCCTAAGACATTGCCAGGGAGAGGTCCAGTGTCCAAGGCTGGGTTGTTAGGAAATCCTTCCATGGGATTTAAAGAAGCTTTTAAAGGGAAACAAAACAGGTACAACACTTACCTGATTAGATATTTTGGTTTTCTGTTGTGGGATTTAATCTGTAAGGTAGAATGTGGCCTTGTCTTTACAAGTAACTCCCTCACCTCTAAGTCTGCTGGTCCAAAATTGTCTGCTACCAGATTACAAAACACAGAGGGACACGGTTTAGCTTTTTTTCAGTAATGCAGTGATGCCAGTTGCTTCAGGGTTTAGAAGTGCTCCAGAAGTTACAGGTCTAGCGCCCCTAGTGGCTAAAAGTTACACAGAGTTGCTTTTAAGGTATAGTGGACAACTTTTCCAAGAAAAATTGGTACGAACTACCCAAGTTACTTTTGGAATAGCTGTCCATTTGCAAGACCATTTCGCCTGCTGTTCCGCTCCACATGGGGGATATTTATGAAGTGTATGGCTGCAACTAATGATTATTTTGCAAATTGAATAATCTGTCCATTTTTTTTTTTCAATTTATTGATTGATAATCAAACCAAAGGTTATTTTTACAAATTTAAACCAGGTGAAACTAAAACTTTTCCACTTGAGGAGCTGTGGATAGAGCACATTAACAGACAAAAAAATATATATTTTTTTAATCTTAAAAGCAAAATGTTTATAAATATCTTTTTTTTTTTGTGTAGTTAATGCTCTAAGTGGGTGACTCCGTCAACTAAAGGCATTTTTTAGAGTCTATACTCCAGTTAACGATTGATCGATTACTACATTAGATGACGATTATTTCCATAATTGATTTATTCATCAAATTAATTGTTTCAGCCCTAATAAAGTGCATGACCAAGCCCTGATGACCTCAAGCACAGCTCAGCTTTGTTCTTGCTCTGTCTGGAACACGTGCATTGCTAACATGCATTACTGAAACTAATCCTGACTGGTATTAAGCCGTTAGGTCAGAATTTCACATAGTATGTGGGGCAACCAAAAACTAAGATGGTCCTTGTGGAACTGAATGCCTAAAGAAGATTGTCTACTATACCTTTAATATTATCTTTGAGCTTTATGATTTAGTGATCTGTTAATAATTGAAAATTGTTTTTATGTCTGTCATTTAATACAGATAAAATAATGACCATGAAAAAAGGTCATAATGCAAATAAAGTAATTGTTTTAAAATTAGGCTCAGCTTGCTTCCAACTTCTGCACTTTGTGAGGTGGCATATCTTTTTTTTATCTTATCAAACTGTTTACTAGCTGTGTTTGTTTACTTTGTTAGTGACTCTATCAGCTGTCAGCTGTAACAGCTGAAAATACAGATTTTTTTTAAGTCCTGCTGTTTAGGGTTTAATTTCAACGAAGTGCCATGCTTGCCAAAAAGAAGACATTTAGAGTTTTTGTCTGTCACCAATATTAGGATAAGACATCTTGTTCATGCCCAATCATAAGTTATGTTTTTAACCAAATTTGTAATTATTGTTTCCTTGATATTTTAGCTGTACTCTAACACAAATAAGCAGGATTGTTTTATTCCATTCTCTTTAAGGGTCCACAAGGAGAGTCAGGTCCTCCTGGACAACAAGGCCTGCCTGGTCCAAATGTAAGTATTTGATTTGTTGTTTTCAAAGAGGTTAGATTATTTTTTCTCTCATTGTAACTATATTATCTCATTCAATCCGCCCCACCTTATTTTGGTCCTCTTTCTCCTATATCTCCTATATCCTATATCTGTGTTGCCATATTGGCTGTGCAACAGGGAGCAGTATAAATTTGAATGATCCGCCACGTTTCTGGTTTTTAAATCAAAACTCTTAGCTCATATTTTCTCAATACACTTGTCCAGCCCAACCCCTACCCCTCAAAAAATCTCACGAGAAAAGAGCAAATAATTGTTTCTGCACAGTGAAAAAAAAAAGTCAACAAATCTTGCATCCAACAGAAATTTGTCACATAGTAGACACCTAATTCCATTCCTGAGTCAGATTTAAAGCAAAACAAGAAGGATAATAGCCAGCTCTGAACGAAATCTGCCAGGTGTCATTTTTCCGTCCTGCTGATTATCACAGTACAAACAGCACGGCGCCATAACTTTGGAAAATATTAGTGGGAACCTGTGCAGATACAATGCAGGTTGTCTACATAACCTGTTCACAGCTGGAGCCATATTAATGATTTCCAGGAAAAGCACAAGGACTCTGAAAAAGAAATATAAAAATACACATCAGATTTCTCTCCCTCTCTCTCTCTACCCCTTTATATATAAATATATATATATAATTTTGTTTATGGACCAAATTATTAAGAATTTTTAATATCTAGAAGAGTAGGATGATAAGCAACTAGATTATCTCCTATCATAATTATGTTCTGACTCTTTAAAATATATTTGCTCTTGCTTTTATAACATGTTTCCATTTTTCGTCTCCCAGGGTCTTGTTGGTCCTCAAGGTCCAATTGGGCCTCCTGGTGAAAAAGTAAGTACAGTGAGATCCCAAGCTCTTCTGTAGTCCTCCTTCTCCTCCACAGCGCTGATAAGTTCATGTTTCAGTTAAGACTTCATAAGTGGTTCTACAGATTTGTGGCTAAGCATAAGCCCTTACCTTGCTCCCTTAAAGTCAGAAACACTTACAGGACCTCACATTTTATTAGCATGAGTGCTTACTTTGGCTGAGAGAAGGCATTTTGTTCGTGGTTTTGAAGAAAATATTTCAGTATGTTAAACCTATCTATCTGATCTTGGTCTATATTTATTACCTTTTCTTTGTAGGGACCTCAAGGAAAGCAGGGTCTGGCTGGACTTGCTGGTGCCGATGGCCCACCTGTAAGCCTCTGATATCAGTCTCTTTTTCCCATTTTAATTACTGATTTGAAATATGAATGAATACATAAACAGCACTTACATATGCTTCTGTAGGGTCACCCTGGGAAAGAGGGACCTCCTGGAGAGAAAGGATCTACAGTAAGTTTTGATTATTTGGTAGAAACTAAAGTTCCTCATTTGTTCATCAAGTTTCATCAAAATTGTCAATATATTGGGCTTAGACATGATAGGGTTCTAAAAAAACACAAACTAAATAAAGTATGGATTAAGATGTTTGCACAATGTCCCAACCTAAACATTTGCTAAGAAATTTTCTTTTTTATGTGTACTGCATATGGTGTAGATTTAAAGTACATCGTAGCACCTGAGCAAAACACTTTACAAAATATGAAAGGAAATTTTGAAATATCATTCAAAGCCTTTTTATGCCATGCATTCGATGGCAATGCAACGTGGACTTTTTATAATATAACAGTATTACATAAGAGCAGCATAAAACTACTGCTTTTATTTACTATAAAACTGTGTCTCAGTGGGTTAAATAGTTACCTTGTAGCCTTTAGGTCGATGGTTTGATTTCAGCTACCTGCTTATGTATGTTAATGTCCTCTTTGGCCAGGCATTTAACCCCACAATATGGCTACAACATTGCTCAGCAATGACTAATACTTTTCTACTACATTTTATTCCATGGTTTTATGGCTATTGTATAAGCCACAGTAATCAAATCTGACCCCCCCGAATAAAAACACTATATAAATACTAAGTAATGAATGAGTTTAACTTTGTAAACTGAAATACTAAATTCATTTTGAATACGTTTAAAATAACCAAAGTTCTTGTCCGCGCAAGTCCAGAAATTAAAGATCAAAAACTGGCAAGATCGCAATAAAATGTTTAACATTTAGTGTTTGATTTTAAATTACAGGGTTTTCCTGGTCCAATAGGATCCATCGGCTATCCTGGTCCACGTGGTGTAAAGGTAAGGTAAAGAAAATGCTCTACATAGTGTTTTCCTCTTTTTGTCTATGTCAAGTTGACGGTATTCTCCCACATGTTGTAGGGCGCTGAAGGAGTTCGAGGAGTCAGAGGCGACAAAGGAGAAAAGGTAAACTCCTCTCTAGCCTCCTCAACATGGCTAACAGATGTCAGTCACTGTAAATGATCCCCTTAGAGTTCTAATTCTTCCTCAAATTGGGCTTCTTCTCTCTCTACAAGTGGAAAAGCTCTTAAAGGCTCATCAGACTGGTGCTTAAGTCCTCATAACACAGAGCTGTAATGGAGGATGAATTATCAAGCTGATACAATATAGAGCTGGGCTTTTAGCAGATGAGCATATCATATTCAGAGTCTATCTGAAAATGTTCAATAGTCTTTCTTAACATTAACATTAAAATATTATTAGAGCATTGAGGCATCTTTAAACACTAAAAGAAAATCATAAATATGTTAATTAATAATTGTTTAACTTAATATGTATATGGGATGATGATTTGCCTAAGCAAGCATAATTTTAAAAGACATTGCAAAGATAAAGCAATTTCCATTTGGAAAAATTATCAATAGAAAAATGTAATTCCTAAGCTAAACCACCAGATGGCAGTAGAGTAAAACCTAACAATAAACATAATTAGGTTCCAGAGCCTCATCTAAATGGCCAGTAGATGTCACTATTTTTGTTTTTAAAATATGCAATTGTCTAACCTCAACTTACAACCCTATTTCAGTAATATTGTGAATTACAGCATTGTTTTTGCACTTAAAGGCCAATTTTATTTATTTGTTTGTTGTTTTTCTTTTGTTGCAACAGATTTTGGTATAAGCATCTGATGTTGCATCAGTTTTTATAACATTATTTCACAATATTATTTATTTACAGGGAGAAGATGGATTTCCTGGTTTCAAAGGGGACATGGGCATCAAGGGTGACAAGGTAGGGCATCAGTTCTCAAGAGAAGCCCAGTCTTCACAGCTGCAGAGACATAAAGAGTAGCAAGAAGGATATAACAAACATGTATCATGTGAAATTGCTGTCTTTGCATTGTCTAGGGCGATAATGGCGTACCGGGACCCAGAGGAGAAGATGGCCCTGAAGGTCCAAAAGGGAAATCAGGACCAGGCGGAGAGCCTGGACCCTTAGGTCTAGCTGGAGAGAAGGTAAGCAGTCCATGTTTTTGAGGTGGTAATAGTAAACTTTAAATCTAAATTAATGAATAAATTATACAAAACATGATGTGTGTGGGGTTTTTTTTTTTTTTTTAGCTTTTTTAAAAATAAAATATGAAGTATTTCCTTTTTAAATTAAGTTCTAAAATTCCCTACTGTATATTTTTGAATAGTGTTTTGCTGTTTACTCTCACTAACATATACTGTAGTTCTTCTCAGTTCCCTTCTTATTGTAAAAATTGTATTCTTGAATATTCCAAATTTATTTCATAGTTCTAAACTGAGTTCTAAACATAGTTCTAAATTTTTTATGTATTCGATGTCTGCATATAATTAGGGGGATCCTGTCAACTATCTTCCTTAGACAGGATAGGGATTTTCTTAAAGAGGACCACCAGTCTTAAAGCATGGCCACCTTCAGAAATGACTTAACAGGCACATCAAAATTTGACTTGCACATCAAAGCCTGCATTTGCCAACTTATTTAAATATGTTTATTTTTCTCATTGCTCAGAGAAATGTAATTCTCATTTGGTAAAACTTTCATGAAGACCACTGTCATTTACTTGTTTTGATGTCTTTGTTACAAAAAACATAAAAAATAATAAAAATACATTTTTAATTTTGGTTAAAGTTTAGACAGCTATGTGGGGGATCTTCTTTTCAACAACACCTAGATGCTGTATAAAACACATCAGCTGAAACAATCTTAAAAGGTTTAAGTGCTAAGTTTTTTTATTTTCTGCTGGTTTAGCTATAGCCAACACTACAACGGTCAAAGAGCAAAGTTAGCAGTGATGAAATTATTTAAGCCTGCAATAGACCGCTATATGGCTAGGAAACCAGCCATTGGATTATTAAGTTTCAAACAGGGGTTAGGGTTAGTATTATTAACATGTTCTTAAAGCCAGGTGTATAGCGAGTAGGGAGACACACATGTTATCAATAAAAGACCAACAAAAAGACAAATATACATTGTTCACACTCACACATCCAAAAAAACAACAGTCACCAAGTTCTTAGTTAATGTCACTACTATTAACTGCCTTAAGAAGCTTAATTCTGACCTCAAGGTTTCTTGGTGTAAACCTTAACTAAGCCCTGGAATATAGAACATTTATTTGAAAGAACTGCATTATATTCAGGTTATTGTGTAATAAACTGTATTTTTATTTGATTGAATAATTTTGCAGAGCTTTGATCCATACAATATTTGGTGTGATTCCACCAGTAACTGCAGACAAATGAACATCTGACAAAATAGATATTACAAGCCAAAAGTATTTCTACATTAAATGTTATGTGAGTTTAAAACCAGGCTTATGTGTTTTTTTTTTCTCTTGCCCATGTGCATTTCAAGGATTTATTGGTAAACCATGTAATTGTACTGTCGTTGTTGACACTTTGAGTTGGGTAAACTTTATTTGGTGACTAATTAAGTAAAGCAGATGGTTTCATTTGCATTAATATATCATTAAGAGCTTTCCAACCATCAATGGACAGATTAAGAGTAAATAAAAATTGATAGCGTTTCCCTTTGTAAATATTACAAATCAAATAAGGTGCCTGGTGGCACACTAATTTATATCTGTATTTTTTTTTCTTTTCATCTTTAGGGAAAACTTGGAGTCCCTGGAATTCCCGGGTACCCTGGAAGACAAGGACAGAAGGTGGGTGATGAGAATAATAAAACATCTCTTGGACAAATTACCGACTATTTATAGTCATAAAAAAAAACAAGTAATGGAAAATATTTTTATATTATATTTTAGATTATCTCCTTCTATGGTTTATTTGGTTGTTCAGGGACTGTAATCACAGCAAACACTACAGTCTTTGCGTGATAATCAAAGCACCTGCTTCCAGATGGTTCTGCATGCTGCACAGAAGTTTTTTACCACCGACCATAGGGTCTTTATGTACACTGGAAGAAAGAAAAATCTCTCTGGTTATAAAAAGGTCAGATTGTGTAAAATAAGTTTCATATGCAATATTTGCAATGTGTTAAGAAAATATTACATTCACTGTTGACTTATACAGGAGAGAGGGTGATAAGAAAAATTCAAAACACAGCCTTTCTGAAACCTGCTTTCCATTACTTTGTCCCACAAACACAAGCAGACACCTACTGCACCCCATCCATGATTCCTGTAGAAAGCCTAACTGGCACGGTCATCTGCTTTATTCATCAGCTGTCCTCCCCCTTTTAGACTGAAGCCATTATCTAAGAATCTGGCTCTGCTTGCAATGTAACTGGGAGCATTTTGCTATGGCTCCACTATCTGGATGTGCTGCTACAGCTGCTTCCTCTTTGCTGCTGTAAGCACCGACATCTTGGCACTGATAGGATCTGCTCCCACAAGATCAAGATCTGCAAATCTCTGACCATTCCTTAATGTCAGCAAAACCTCAGACCAAGTATAGCCCAGAATTTTAATTCAAGGGTTAAAACAGTCATTCTATTTTTAATTATTAGATTTCAATCATTTGTAACAAAGACTGTTTTTTTTATGTAATGTTGCATATGCTTAAGCCATTGTATTTCATCTGAATTCCTAACCGTATCAGTTTTGTGGCCATATTGTAAGTTATTATGTGAAATTTTAAACAGAAATTAAAAAGAGATAAAAGTGAGGATAAATATGGAGACCTGAAACTACCAAGACCCACCAGCATTTTCAATCAAAGCTGCCAGAGTAGAAAAAGTAAAAGCAACTCATGTTGCTCTGGGGTCAGACTTTAAGTCCTTTTTCTGCTTGACTATTGGGAAACCATGCACAAATTTTTTTAAGTTGAAATTGTCCCACAACTAATTATAAGGCAACCAGGATGTCTAGTCTGGCTGAGCAATCAAAAGGAAGAGCAGTTATTTAATTCAGGAAAGCAATGGCATGTTGAAACTAAATGCCTATGTAAATAATCAGTCGTCTGGATCATGGCAACTGCAGGATTAAATTGAAAGGCTATTTATGTATTTTTTATTTTTTTTCATTGATACAAAGTCCAGCTGACTTCCAATTTATGCCTGTTTTGCAGTTGAAACTAGATAATTGTTTTTTTTTTTCTTTCTGGAATTGAAAATAATGTTTGAAATAGTATTTTTTAGTTTTCGAAATAGGCCACAAAAAAAAAAAAAAAAAAAAAAAACTATGATTCTGGGGAAGCAGGTGTTCCAAGGGGCTGACCAACCCAATCAAGGGTCTGCTTTAAATAATTTGAGACCAATATTAATGCTAGGCAATTAATTCAATATTTTATTTTAAAATAGCAAGTCAATCAAAAACATCAGTAGTGTATTTCCATTGCCATAATACCATTTTACACTCGTTAAAATTTTGCAAATGTTCTAATTTCTGAACCATAAGTCTACATTCAGAGCTAACACAATCAACGACAAAATGCATAAAAAAATAGTCCTTCAGAAGACACCTGGAAAAAAAGTACCTTTGTAGGCTAATATGAGTGGTTTTTGTGTATCACATCAATCCCAGCACCTCACTCCAAGCTTTAAAGCTGTAATATATACTCATAACATGCTGTGTACCGGTAGTTAGACCAAGCTTTTGTCCATAGAAAAGCTGTCTGCAAAGCTTCCAACTAGTTACCAAGATCAAACCATCAGAGGGAGAGTAACTGCTCCCTGCATGTGGCGTTGCATAAAATGTTCAGGATCGTCTCTTTTGCCTTCATTTGAAGAGATTTCCTTTAACATTAAAAAGGTAATTTCCATCATATAAGCATTTTGACATACTCTCTTACTTCAAAGAAGCTTTGAAGCTGTTTGTAACAGAAAACTTTGCAGAGCGAGGAGAGTAACTGGGAAGGAAAAAAAAAATCCCATTTCCATTGTAAAGTACTTCTGCTATGAAATGTCACATTGTCCTCATGAGTAGCTTCAGGCTCACAGTCTTGGCCTAGCAGCTGCCTGTATCTGCCCTCAATCAGCCTGACCTGGAATTCCTCCACTGTCTGTGCTTTTGGCTGCTACATCCCATCACTCTCTGTTAACAACTTCGCCACATCGTTAATTGCGGATGCCATTTGCAAAAGCCTCAGTAGACTCTCTTATCTCAGTTTTGCAAGTCGCCCAGTGGCACCTCTCATTTTGGTTTACTGTAACTGCACATCTGTGAAAAACAAATTTCACACAACAAATTTCACTTTGTGAAGGTTTTGCCCCTTGCATTTGCCCTTGCTAGTCTGATGTCATGTCTTCTCTGATTTTGCAAAATATGATGCTTAATATGCATATAAAGGGTAATGACCATTGTAAATGTTTGTTCATCAATGTTTTAGGGAATATGATTACTTAAGCACCTGACCTTTGTTTGCACCCAAAGCACAGGGATACTTAACCTAGATAGGTTGAGCTTATTTATGCTGTCTAATTCAGCATATAATCAGGATATGTTCATGAGCTGCTAGGTTCTCTTGTTATTAGGCAAACACTGATTACTCCCCTAGTATTTGTTTGACCGACGCCATTGCAGCTATCTGGGAGGACAGCCTCTGAAAGCCCAGTTACTAAATTGTCAGTTACTAAAAATCAGAACAGACAGCAGGACAGGTTGGAAACTCTCCTCTCTGACCCGTTTTGATCAAACGTGTTCAGTGGCTAGTTACAATAGTAACTATTACTAAATTGTAATAGTTATCACAGGTGATCCACTGGTTTTCTTTACTTTGTCTGTATTTGGACCAACTGCCTCTTTTTCTGTCAATCTTTTATATCCATCATTAATACCAGCAATTCAACCTAAGAAATCTTGTAAATAACAAGACGTTTCCTCTTGTCAGATTTAAAGTACGGTTTTTTTTTTAAAGTAGCTCTTTGTACATTTATTGCTTGCAGGATCCTATCTAGCTTTGGTCTAGAAGCCTTTTCTATATGTTTCTTTCCTATATTGTTCTTCTGATATACATGTTTTTTCTGATGTGTGATTGTCGTTCCAATTAGATGGAATTCTTCAGTCTTTGTAAGATACAGAGTATTTCTTCTTTCACTTTACAACATGTAAAAGTTCCTTCATCATACATTTATCGTAATTTTTTTCTCATCTTTTATTGCAGGGCTCAAATGGATTCCCAGGATTCCCTGGAGCAAATGGTGAAAAGGGAGCAAGGGTAAGCAGAGCTCATGATCCCAGATATCAAACTGGGTTCAAGATATTTATTAATTTCAACTCAGTTTAATTTAAATTGCCAATTCACCATACATGTTCTGTTGAAGCACTTTAGAGAGACAAATCAACCAGATCATACAGGTAGATGCAATCAGCAGAGAGAAACAGGACAAAGTACTGAAACCAGGCTCTGTGTTATCATCTACAATTAAAGGTGTTGATGGCAGCAGCTATGGCATTGCGATTCTGGCAAAAGTGCACACACACATTAAATACTAATGAGCAGCTTTATTCATATAGACTCTCATACATTACTCCTCATGAGCCTGTTATACATGTTACATGCACAAATAAATTACCTGGGGACCCCAGTATAATCACACACACACAGTGCTTGTTCCTTCTCTCTGGCATGAGTTTTATGACACGTTGCCGAGGTAACCAACATAAACTGTCTTCTTATTCCCAACTAATGTTTGAGCTAGCAGAAACGATATATTACAATAAATGATGACTTTGCTTACCAACTTCTAACTCTTGAAAAGAAGCGGTTAGCCTGACGTTGCTTTGCCAGTAGGAAGAACAGAACAGCCTCAGGACGTGGGATTTCATGAAAAGTACCCAATCACAGACAAGTTACTTTATGGGGTGGGTAACGCAATCAAAGTAACAAAAGTTGACATAAACGTACAGAAACAGTTTCATACACGAATAAGAGAGAATCTACTGTATAGGCACATAAAAAGTAAACCACAAGCGCAGAAAAGGAGCATGAACTCATGGTTGTAATATATTTGGGGCCTCATGGTGTCACGGTTGGGTGGAAGTTTTGAGGACCCAAATGCGGAGATCAGGAGGCAGTGATGAGTCTTGCAGATTTAATAAGGCAACTGAGGCAAAAATCCAAAGTACAAAAAATACAAAACACCAAAAAACAGGACAACATGAGGGAAAAACTCAGGTGGGGAACCAAAGGTGAGAAAGTAGCAAAACAACCACAAGGAACCAGCACTTAGTGACTGCAGAGGTGGAGTATATAAGGGGAACAGAACAAAGGATGGGCTAATGAGCTGAATATGGAGCAGGTGTGAATTGAACTAACTAGAAGGAAGCCAAGCGGAAAGGAAACAAGCACAATGGGGCAACAAACAGTAACTAAAATCTGCTTGAATATAATAGAAATTAAACCAAAGATCAACAAAACAGAATAACTGAAAACTAAAAACTCAGGGTCCCAAAAGGGAGAACCATAACACATAGCATTAGATCTATACTCATAGATTATTCAAAAGTGGAGCAGTACGGCTAGTGTTTCGCTTGATTTCTGCATATAAATTACTTTGTTATAAATATGCAGGGAGTATTACAGATTATATGAACACTGCAATGTAAGTGAAACGCGAAAGGAAAAACAGAAAAAAAGGAGAAAAGATGAAAGAGGAGATAAAAGGGAGTTAACGATAAAACATCTTAATTCTGCTTCATCAACTGCAAAGAGATATAAAAAGAACAGCACAATCAACGGATATAATATAAGAGATACAATAAAGTAACACCTAGATACTATGTAGATACGTATGTAGATACTTTAGTATCTTGGTTTAATTCAGATCAGTAGCTTGAAAAGTTCAATTTAGGACACTAAAGTTTTCTAGAAGACCTTTCGCCTCTCATCCAAGACGCTTCCTCAGCTCTAACTGATGGTGGGAAGCACTGAGGTTAATATACTGTAGGTGTAACAAAAGAATTAAAAGGCAGGTTAGGGGGGTTATGATAGGTCGTTAACCCCCTCGTCAGAGTGGTTTCGGTCACATCGTCATTGAAGTTTGAGTCAGGCAAGGGCAGGTGAGAGATGAATCTCCTCTGTGTTGTTCCTAAAAGTGCTTTGTAAGTAGGTGAAAGATTATGTCTAAGACTACCTCCTCTGTTGAGTGATTGTTTTCTTGAGGTTAACAAAGATGGCTTCCTTAACCCCTCTCTCAAACCATCTGTGTTCCTTTACCAGAATATGGACGTGGTTGTCCTTAAACCAGTGTCCTTTAGACTTCAGATATAGGTGAACAGCTGAGTGCTGTCCTGAGGAGTTGCTCATACATATCATGCAGCATAACTACAGAAGTGACTAAAAAGATGCTTTGAAAAGTCTTTATGCCAAACATATAGGTAAATTCACCTTGAGCGTATCAACTCTTTTACATATTTACTTTGAGCTTAAACGGTGGTAGACATCACAGCTACAGGTGTGTTTTCAAATGGAGAAAACTTAACAGGAATTTCTGGTGTTTCTGGCCCCTTCATTTGCACCTCAGAAACCAGGGCCAAACCATACAAAATCGAGTCACAATCATCTCTGAAACAAAATGTTTTCATTTCAAATTACAGCGCAGGAGTCCTGTATTTTGGTTTGAAAATCCAGGCCGCTGTTCTGAGTATCAGTGTTTTATGGATGTTTTATTAAAATACATAAAAATATTGTTAAAACTTCACCTCCACCTTCAGTCATTGCTTGAAGTTGAAGATAGAAACAAACACTTCAAACAAAACCTTTTTTAAGGTTTTTAATTTATAAAGTGCAAAAGATCTGAAGCAATGATGTGCTGATAACCAGATTAAAGCAATAACAACTGACCAGGAATTTTGCTAATCCAACAATTTGCATAAAACATACACACATTGCAATAGCTGCTGTATGTGTGTATTTATTCTTCTTGATACTCATCTTTCTGACTTCAGTTAGAATTGTGAAAAAAAATTCTTCTAAATTAAAACCGTTTTTGCTATATTTTTTAGTGATTAACCAAAGAACCATAAAATTTGTGTAAATCATGTCCATGGACCTGTAATGATAATCTACATTTAGCTCTTTTATTTCCATTTTCAGCTCACATATTAGTGCAGTTTATACAAAAAGATTCACTTTACCTCCCATTTCCAAACAGCTTGGAGTGAAAGTCAGTGATTTTGTTAACCATAACTGCTTTGGAAAATCAGGAATTCAGGCTGCTTTGGTTTTTATTTGACTTTTTTCTTTTTTATTGCATCTTGGATGTCATTGTTGCAGTAGACATCAGTCTGTGTCCCCACCAGCTTACAGTTTGTCCTTTGCAGTTCGGGGAGCCATTTTATCTTCAGAGGACAGAAAAAAAACAGCCTTGGGGTAAAATAGGAAAAAAATGAATAAAAACAGTATATTAATTTCCTAAGGTTACACATCTAGGAAGTTATAATCTATAATGAAAATATCTTTCTCCAAGAGTAATAATCTTGTGCTGCTCCCAGTAGATTTTCAGAAATTGTTTTTGAAAATGAAATTAGTAAACTTATTACTAACCATAGACTTAATAGTAGCCTAATTTGTTTTTAATTTAACATTTACTGTTCTCTCAAAAACATGTCCTGAAGATCTAACTTTTGAGGATGGATGACAACTTTATTCTGCTGTTTGTAGAAAGCTGTTGAGTCACCCGGGCGAAAAGGGTTACAGTTAAATGGATGACAGTGAGGAATGTTGAAGGATTGGGGTTGTTATCGACAAGACAAGCTCATCTGGGCTCGCTCACACTTAGAGAGGCAGACATGCTCAGCCTGAGAATGCTTGAGCTGACAGGTAGTTCAAGCTGTCATGTGCCTTTGGGTAACCGCTTATCACAGCAGTTTGATTATTTATTTTTTGTCTAAAGATGCTCAGATGGTTCTATTTAATCTGTGACAAAGATTCCCAGAGCAGCTGTGCTTGTCTGTGGTTAAATGTGTTTTATAATTTGGAATTCAAAAACGGCTCTGCTTAAGCTTCTGACAAGAAAAAAAAAGAACAGTCTGGACTTGTTGTTGGTGTAATAGTGTTGCTCTTAACAAATGCTTTTGTATTTTATTCTCAGGGAACTGCTGGAAAATCAGGCCCTAGAGGGCAACGTGGACCAACGGTAAGCATCTCATTAGACTTAAGCTGAACAGATTTTTTTTCTCTGCATATAATATTTCTAAGGTTTATATAAATGTCAGCTTTGTTTAGTTTGGAAGGATTTTTGGTTAATGTGTTTCCAAGAAAATAATCCATTGTTGGTAATTTGTTGAGAGTTATAGTATTATTTTAATTGCTGCACTTTTTTCATTTAATTATTAATTTACTATGAACATAGGGTCCGCGTGGGGGACGTGGAGCAAGAGGACCAACAGGAAAGCCAGGTGCAAAGGTGAGTTTTTTTCAACAGTTGTAACAATTTTGATGCTTAATAGCACAATTATAAACAATAAATCAGTTAGTTGAATCTTCATCACAAGCATTTATCTACTGCTTATAGTAGCTGTTAAAATTACATTTGAAATTTTAAAGCATGAGTGTGCATAATGTTCCTTTTGTTAACTCAGCTAAGATATTCATATTCTACAGTCTTGTTAGTTCTGAGAAGGTTCACAGTCTTCATTCATTCATTTTTCTTTCCCTACAGGGAACGTCAGGCAGTGACGGACCTCCAGGCCCACCTGGAGAGCGGGTTGGTGCTGGATTTTGTTTTATTCTGTAACGTGTATTCTGTTCATACGGTATCTGTGCTGACATTGATATGACATGAAGAGAATCCGGTTGGAACTGAGACTCAAAGGCACTTGAATGTCTTTGCTACATCTGTAGCCAAAGCAACCAGCCGCCATGAAGCGCTGCCTTGACAGTGTGGATGTAATAAGGCATGTGGCCAGTTTGGCTACACCTGAACTTTGGTCATTTTTACAGGCAACATGTCATGAGTTAGCTGCCACTGCTGCTTTTATACTCTTTAATGCCTCACCTAAGACTGAGAAACACATTTAGCATGATTTCAAAGCTTCTTGGTCCTTTATAAACCATATTTTGTTTAACAATAACTATATGAGTGTTAAGACCCCTAGAACGACTTTGGGCTTAAGTGGGATTTTAATGTGGTTCTGCGGTCATGTATGAAAAGGTGGCCTTAAACTGTGAAGGGGATTGGGAGATCTATTTTGAAAAAGATGAGTAAATGAGTTAAAATGTAATTGTGTTCCTTTTCCTTTTACCTTTTAGGGACCTCAAGGACCTCAGGGACCTGTGGGTTTACCCGGACCTAAGGGACCCAATGTAAGTGACTCTTGTCAAACTGTGTGTAAAGTTCACAGTCATTTTGAAAACCGCTTTTGATAATTTCTCTAAATATTATTATATATCTTTGATTTTTGAGAACTGTCAAACTATTTCACCTGCAGGGCCCGCCAGGGAAAGACGGGCTGCCAGGTCATCCTGGACAGAGGGGGGAAACCGTAAGTGGGCTGATTATTTTGTAAATTTACATTTTTGCCCCTTTTCTTTTCCTGGTGCTTTGAAAACTGTGACACCTTAGTAATAGGAATCCTAAGTGGCAAATAGACAGTGTTTAATAAAAACCTAGCTGTGTTTCAGTATCATTAACATACAGTGCTTTAGGTTCTGAATTTTCAGTTTAATTTCTAAACGACCAATCAAATAACAAACCATCACCTATTAATTGATAATATTTTTAAACATTGAAAAAAATTGTTTTGGAAAACGCTTTTCTGTCTAGCTACTACCATTCCAGCATTTTTAAAGTTATTTCACTGGCAGGCTTTCAGCCTGTATTATAATCAAACAACTGGGTGATCAAGTCATCTGCTGACCCACCTACCTGTCAATGGACCTATGAAGTCATCTTTACATGTTATTATAAATATATCTTTACATTGCATTATCAAGCTATCTGTCAGTTGAGCTGTCAAACTATCCATTTGTCTTTTCAGGGTTTCCAAGGAAAGACTGGACCTCCAGGACCTGGAGGGGTGGTTGGACCTCAGGTACATGTGCAGCCAACGGTGCTATGTTTGTCGATCATGTTTTGTCATTAATTGTGTCTATTGCAGAATCATTCACGACCAAAAACGTTAACCAATTTTAAGATAATAAATACATACCTTAAACAGAAATATAATCAAATACAATTAAGAAGCTTTACATTCTTTTTGTTTTTTGTTGTTCTTTTTTGTTCATGGGAAGGCAAAATCTGAAAATTTGTACATTTATCCAATAATGGATTGGTTGAAGTTGTTTGTAAAATCACATCTAGAATACTTGAAAAGTCCCAAAAATATTTGTTTTATTCATCAGATGGCAGCCTTCATGTGATTAAATAATATACTATATTTTTGGCAACATGTGAGTCTATTTTTTCTTGACAGGGACCAACTGGAGAGACAGGACCCAGTGGAGAACGAGGACACCCAGGCACCCCTGGTCCACCTGGAGAGCAAGGCCTGCCAGGGGCTGCAGGAAAAGAGGGAGGAAAGGTAATAAAGAATGCATTTTTTATGATTTTTATTTCAGAGTTGGTCTATCAAACTTTGCATATGATTTAGTAATGTATACGTACAATAGTAATAATGTAGTCACATACATACTAAATCACTATTTCCTTCCTGGCCAATAAATAGACCACTGCAGAGTAAAACCACAAATTAAACCACATATCTTAACTATATCAATTTGTAATGACAGCATTTTGTGGTAATTATTTAAATTAGTCTTTCATCCTGATGGTCAGAAGGTTAAAGTATAGTACTTGAAACCATCTGACTTTCTCTTTTACTTGATTTTTCTTCCTGAAAAGATGATTGATGTTTTTGTTTTTACCTCCTAATGACGGACTTTGTCCCAGATATAGAGCTAATTAAGCTATCATCAGACAACTTTCATTATTCTCTCCACTGGCCTCAAAACATCTGGGTAAAGATACCTGATAGCACTTATTAAACCGATACCTTTCTATTCTGCAGGGTGATCCAGGTCCTCCAGGACATTCTGGCAAGATGGGACCATCTGGGCTGAAAGGTTTCCAAGGGGCAAGAGGTCTCCCAGGAGCAAAGGTACAACATGTTGACATAATTGTGTAGAAAAAAACAATTTTAGATGTACACACAGAAAACCAACCCCCCCATCTTCAGATCGCACCCAGCTTAATTTAGCTCTAAACTGCAATTACAAATCACCAACTGGCACACCTGACGTTAAACTAATGGTACTCGGAAAATTAGTTATAGTTCTAAGATTTTTGGGGAACTCAAATTCATATATATTTAGAGGTTTATGTATTATAATGATAAAAATAATCCCAATATGATTTTCATTTAGACAGCTCTTTCTGTTCCCAAACAAAAAGTTAGTCATTGTGTCTTGCTTTCAGTTTACACTCTTTGCAGCTTTTGGAGCTTATCACATTCACCCCCTCCTGTGGAGAAACCTGTGCTGGTTCTCAGAAGCAGTGGGTGTGAGTGAGAGAAAGTTCAAGGTGTGAGCAGATGGCCATTAGACGCTGACTCAGGATCAGCTTGGGGGACTGTGGCTGAAACCTCATTTCAAGGCTGACCATTAAGACAGCTCATGACAGCACAGGGCAGACTTATTACAGCTGGTATGTTTGTCCCATGTGAGCAGCAGGATGAGTTTCTTTTAATAATGGAAGCACAAACAAAAAATATGAGCAAACAAATGCATGCTCCTGCTCCTTCTTAAAATGATCCCATCTAGAAAAAGAAAGCCACAAGGATCAAGGTGCACACATTTAAAACAAATACACGTTTCAGTCTCTCACTGCACTGTGGAGAATCAGTCAATCCAGCAGTGGCAGTGCCTTTTGGCAGCCTCTGCATCCCCTGGCACTGCTGGAACCTGTGAATTAGCCATTATAATAAAAGTTTTGTTTTCCATATGCAGCCTCAGTCCCCTCCTGTGCTGTGAATCAGCACAGCCTTTGCCATTCTAGGAGCAGTAACTAGACGAGGTGACGAGAGGCTGGAGATAAATGGACATTACATCAACCTGTGACTCACAATCGGATTTTGAAACTTGTCATCTCTTCTTATTCGTTCAGTCCCTTTGAAGCTTGTGTAGTGGCTCATTTTGTGTTGATAGATAATACATCAGCAAGTGAGGCTGTTTTCTAATTCAGTAAATAACTTTACCTACCTACATAAATACCTAATATGCTACCTAAATGTTTTTTTGGATTGTTTTTTTTTTGTTTAAAGAAAGGTTACATTTTTTTCTTCTCAGTATTTATTAAAGTTAGGATTTTGATATTTATTCTACAAAGGGTCCCTCAAACCACAACCTTAAAAGTCTAATTGATATTAAACTAATTTAAATTTGTTGTTATTTAAAATTGTAAAGTTACTACCCTTTGACGGAAATGTACCCAAAATATATCTTTTATGCCTTTCTGGCAAAATAAAAAAAATATCTTATACTCATCCTCATGAATGTCATATAATTGAATCCAGTTTTTTTTCGATCCAATCCGATACCTGGGTAGTCCGATACATCGGCGGATGGGCCGATATCTGATACCGATCCAATTCCACTGTTGAATGAATGATCAATATATCTTGGTTTGTGATTAAAGGCTTTAGCTTGGACATAATAATTGTAAAAAAAAAGGTAATAAATGAACACAGATATAAATTGTATTTTATATTATTTACTATAAGCAGCAAAAAGAAAGAAATAACAGTTCCATGCAAAGTGCACTACATTGGATCTCTGATATCAAATAACCGATATACGATCCAGCTAAATAGTCGATATCAGGGCCAATATCCTATCCAGGTATTAGATCGGCGCATCTCTAATGATTTAAGGGATTTATTTCACCTGTTCTTTTCCAGGTTGATTGATAATGAAACTTAAAGGATTTAAAAATGCAAACAAAATATTAGGGTGCAAGATTCAATTTTCTGTATGTTTTGTAATCTTCTGTAATAATCTATTATAATAGTCTATTAAAAACCTATTGATCCTGTTTAAAAGCTAAACCTGAGCAAAAAAGAAAAACACATTTATGTGAGCTTAGTAATAAATAGTGTAGCCACAGGTACATCCATAAATCCTGTGGATATGGGGTTAACTAGTTCAGATCAAATCTACATTAAATTCAAACGTGCACAAAACAAATTTTCTTTAATTTGTTGCTCTAAAGTTATATGACGAACAGAATATAATCAACCATTCACCTTCTTTCCCAACCAAAGAGAAAGACACTCAGACTAATGTTATGTGTGCATGAGAATCTGACCGAAACTTTGTTTTAGATTATTTATACAGATTTGTAGGTTTTCACAGCTGTTTTTTATTTTGTTGTTTTTTCCCTTTCCTATCACAAATATACAAGTCTAAGGAAAACAGACCATGATTGATTATGTAAACCTAAGGATTGTTAATATTGTTTTTCTGTCTTTTAATTTGTATGATGTTGGTACATTTGAGATATTTTCATGGAGGGAACATTCATTGCATGCTGCTGATTGGCAGAATCTTCACCAATAAATTCAAACTATTATTGTTTTGAAACGTATAGTTTGTCTTTTCAAAGTACAGGAAAAAGAATTTCAGTCACTTTGATCTGTTTAGATGCTATTTCTTCCCATAAAGTCTGTTCAGGTTGATTTATTCTGATTCACATAGGGGCTACCAAAAGTACATTCTCAAACTTTTAAAGAGTTATTTTAACAGTTGCAACCTAGAGTCTTTGAATAGCTTGGAGTGTTGGTCCACAGTGAGCAATATCAGACCTTCTCTTCTCTCTCCTTTCAGGGTCCAGGTGGCTTAAAGGGAGGAGAAGGACCTCAGGGTCCCCCCGGCCCCATCGTAAGTAGCCAGTTACTATGGTTACCTCATCTCTCTTGCTACAGAGATTGCGAGGAAAAGTGTCTTGTGCTTTTGGATAATTGAGCCGCCTGTGCTGCCCACAGCCCCATTCTCTGGTCATTCAGCGGTGCATGTAATGTAAACTGCAGCACAGAGAATGGCTGAACGGGGTGTGGTGTGATTGCTTTCTGTTCCTTCACAGCTTTAATAAGATGTTTTAGAGCAGGTATTCCATATGGCATTTACTTCACTGCTTCAAATCTTTTTTTATTTTAGTATATTTTAGCAAATTTTTATAGAAATTTACTACCCTCGATTATCCTCAATATTGATCTTGAATTCTTCAGAAATCCAACTTAAGCAAGTTTGTCTTATATATATATAAAGATATAGTGTCAGCTGGTAAAACCAAAGAACCTTAGAAATGCATAAACCAAAGCTCATTAAAAGGCCACACAATTTGTTGTGTATTCTTAGTGAAATACAACCTAATCACTGCTTAACTGTCTAATCGAAGAGCAGCTAGTCTTATCCCTGTTGCTTGACTGATTACGGATGTTCTCCTTACACAGCCTTAACGGTTCCTATAGCAACTGTTGGGGCATAGATAGAAGGGCTTCACTTCTTACTCCCCGACCTTTAGATGTTTTGTTTAAACTGTGTTTGACAACAAAACCCCCCCTTTCCTACTCTGCTCTACCTTTTAAAAGTATTAATATTCCTGGAACATTTTTATTTTCTCAATTCTGAAATTGCACTAAATATGTTATCACGTTCTTCCATGTTATACATTCCAACAAATTATTGCAAAAAAAACATGGGATGTGTGGCATGTAAACATATTACACCCTCCTTCATTTGAAACCAATGAATAAAATCTAGACAGCTAATTACCCTCGGAAGTACCTGTGGAATTGAATTCAGCTTAAATGGGAAGGTCCCAGAGATGTTACAAAGGATTAATGATCAACCAACATTGGATTATATAACAATATTGGAACCTTAGTAGTCTTACAGACCGCTGTTCAACCCTTAATATGAAAATTGAAAGAGCATGGCACAACTTCAAACCTACCAAAACATGTCTATTCACCTAAACTGGGAGTTCCCTGGAAAAACCTTTTATAAGAGCTGAGGTTTAGAGCTCAGAGAGGAAAAATATTTTCACAGGGCATCTGTTCAGAAGGCAATTTGGTCATGTCAGAGGAGCCAACTCCTCTGACATTGGAGTTGGCTCAGAGCTCGTCTGCTGCCTCTCTGTGTGTTTCCTGGACGGGGCCGCCTCTTACAGCTGCTTTTTGTATCTCTGCTTCAGTCTCATTGAACCCTGTCGGCCTCAGCAGATGGCTGCTCACACTGAGCCTGGTTCTGCTGGAGGTTTCTTCCTGTTAAAAGGGAGTTTTTCCTCTCCACTGTCACTACAAGCATGCTTAATGTGAGGGATTGCATCTGAGTCAATGAGTCGATGCAATCAACCCGTTTTCCTTAGATAGAAAACTTTGAATCAATTTGACTGTATGATGAACTATGAATTGGCGCTTTAGAAATAAACTGAATTTAATTGAATTGAAATGTTCCCAATATTAAGCTTTTGTGTCCATGTTAAAAATAATACCTCCAGTAGAAATCTAACACTGCACCAATGACACCCCATCCCAGCTGTCAGGCATGGTGGTGGCAGCATGCTGCTTGGATTCTTATTAGAGGATTTAAAAGACTTCAGATATTTTGCCAAAATGATGTTCTAGATCTACAAAAGCCAGAAGAGCACATTTTGAAACAGTGTTTGTATTTGTTAGAATTATAAAAAAAAAAAATAAATAAAAAAACATTCCTACTTACAGGATATTTAACCTCTTGTTTTATATGCCTGTCTGTGTTCTTTGGTCATGTGAAGCATAAGAAAAAAGTAAATAATGACGTTTGTCATTTAAAGTGAAAAATTGTTGAGAAACTTGAAGGGATTTACAAACATCCACCCTTAATTGTTTCAAGCATATTTAAGATTAGCCTTCATGGCTGCAGTTGATCTAGATAAAAAGGCATTGCTAATCATATACATTCCTATCACACGGCAATATTTCACCTTAAAAAAGAAGCAGTTCAAAATCGGCAGAGCAGTTCAAAATGAACTGTGACATTTTTTTTTCTCTGGCCCCTTAGTTAGTGATGCAGGCAACAAAAAGCCCGAAGAGTTGACATCCTATGCATAATCTGACTGACGTGCAGCTTTGAACTCTGTGTCATATTGTTCAACCATTAAATGCGAGCTTTTGATAATTGCCCCCCTGCTTACGAGCTACAGAGCAACTCCAGATTAGATGACAGCCGATATGCATAGCAAAGGATGAAAACATGCTGGATGTGAGGAGTATTTCTCTAAAGGGGCAAAGCCATTCTCAATGCAGTGAGACGTGGTTGTCTTAAATTGGCTTGAAAGTGAGTCCCTGGCTGAATACAGGTGAAATACTACCTCAGTAGCATTGTTATGATGGGAAAATAGGCCAGTGTGCAATGTGAATGCACACAAGAGATCTGATATTTCCCTCTATCGATTGCCTGCCACCGATCGAGCTGCTGTTGTGCTTTGGGGAAGGCTAAGTGTGCTGCATGTGTTTTCTTTTATCCTTGTCCTTTTAGAGGCTTGTGTGTCTAAAAGACCCTGAGAGGGAAGCATTAGCGCAAAACAATAAATATGTACTATAAGTTATGCCACTTGTCTGCTTCTGGCCAAATGGAAAAAAAAAAATACTGGGAGAAGAAGAAGCAGAAAAAAGCTAGTGACATACATTGAGACAAACAAACTAGTGAAGAGTTTTGCGTGTGAGTTTCAGCATTTGTGAGGAGGTTGGCAGCTTCTGGGTGACAGTTTGGAGCTGTGAGTGTGTCACCAGAGAATGACTGTCATGAAATGGGCCAGGAGTATGAGTGCCAGGTGGCAGCTCGCATCAGATGCTGATTCAGTCAATGTGAATCAGGTCATAGCTTTGGCCCTGAACACATGCAAATCAAAGTTTATTGTGTTTATTTTGTTTAAAGCCTGCTCAAAGCCCTCCCTGGGTGAATGGTATCATGATGATGCTCTGTAATATATCAGTAATATGTGAGGTTTAGGACCACCTACGTAGAGATAGAACCCACCTGGGAAAAGTCAGGAGTTGTAAACATGCTGATGTAGGAAAAGAATTGACAACTAGTATTTTTATATACTGTATATATAAAAAAAAAAACTGTTTTCTCACCCCTCGTGGGGTGGTATGTGTCATCCTCAACCTCGGGTCCTCTACCAGAGGCCTGGGAGTTTGAGGGTTCTGCGCAGTATCTTAGCTGTTCCTAGGACTGCGCTCTTCTAGACAGAGACCTCTGATGTTTTACCTGGAATCTGCTGTAGCCACTCTCCCAGTTTGTTAACAAGGTCCGCGTCAGTTGCTAGGGACAACTTGATGACAAATTGGCTACTGGAACAAGATATAGATGGACTAGAGCGGAAACTTGGTACTGATATATGTATAAAGATATTTTGATATTTTTTTCCCCTATACTAATTTTACCGATAAGATTTTTTTGGCCCTGATACTGACACCTGGCTGTGCAGTATTGGCAGATACCGATACCATCCGTTTGAAATTGCTGTGTGTGTGTATATATATGAAGAACTTCATACTACTTGGATGTGAAATAATCGCCATCATGGCTTTGTCAAGCTGCTGCTTACCTTTGTGAAGCAGAAAAAAGACTAATACAAAGTGAATCCAGTAGAACTTTTTATTGCCTACCTGGAATGGGTTTTGTCAGTACTCACCAATACCGATACCACCATTTTAGTTCTGGATCGGGGCCACGCCCAATACTGGTATCTGTATCGGTGCAACACTAACTAGTATATTTTTTTTTATTTAACATGAGGAACGTCTTTTTAGTGGGGTTCCTAAGAAGAAAGGAATATTATATTTTAAAGAACTTTTAAAAATAAACTATATACAGCACAGTATAAATAATGGTCTCATTACCTTTTTGTATAACTTTAAATGACACACATGCTGTTCCACAGCTATTACTAAGTCATTGCTTCTTTGTAATTGAGTCATGTGAGGATAGTTATTTTGTTAGCAAATAACATTAAAATATCCAAGAATAGAATTCAATAGAATAGAAAATCCCTTTATTGTTCCACAATGGGGAAATTGTGATGTTTCAGCAGCAGGTTATAGCAGAAGTTCTCACACAATGTGGACCTTAGAAAATAAACAAATTAAATACTGTACTGTACATTGCTTTTACAGTATAAATACTCTCTATCTATAGAATAGATAAGAAATAAACAGTTGTGGACATTTTTACATGGATTTTTAATCAATGCAACAACACCAGAGATGTGCAAAAAATGACAGCAGCATGTTATTTAACTGACTAAGACAGAAACTGTGCAAAAATCAGCATTAATGTAACAACTGTTCCAACCAAAGTAAACGGGAGTAGTATTGCTTAAACAAGTCCTCTCAAACCTTTTATGCTTCAAGAAAAATGGGAGCTGTTTTCATTGGTGTGTTGAGTGTCTTTAAATTGTATGTTAAATATGGTCTTTGATGACAGGGTTCCCCTGGCGAGAGAGGCCCTGCTGGTCCTGGAGGTCCTATTGGTCAGACAGGACGCAACGGCCCGCAAGGACCACCAGGCCCTGCTGGAGAAAAGGGAGCCCCTGTGAGTTTGTTTATCCTCTCTTTACTTAGCAACACTTTTTTCCTTAAAGTTTTCAAGGTATCATCAAATGACTTTGATAAATGCCTCTCACAGGGAGAGAAAGGTCCCATGGGTCCAGCTGGCCGTGACGGCATTCAAGGTCCGGTAGGTCTTCCTGGCCCAGCTGGTCCTCAGGGTCCCCCAGGAGAGGATGGTGATAAGGTAAAGTAAATGTGGAATTCTGAGGTTTCACAAATCCATAATCTTTTTTATCAAAAAACACACAGGCAAAACCAGAGGCTGTGTTTTAGGATTTTCATTTACATCTTCATTTGTGAGTTATGCTAATAATATCCTCCATCAACAGTGCCTTTCAAAAGTTTAAAAGTCCTGATTATTTTAAAAGTTGTATCAATTTTGGCCTTTATTTTGATCCAACATTCTTTTTTGGGCTAATAATATAACATACAACTTTGATAGATTTTTGAAACAGTTATATGGTGCAATAATTCAAATTTATTGTGATTCAACTCAAAACAAAACAGAGGCTTAAATTTTACAGCCACCCTAAAATGACCATAAATGGATCCTGACAAGTATGGGAGGAACTGCATGCTTTTTGTGTCTATTAATAAGGTCCTGGATAGAAACGTCACTCGTTTAGTTGGTTTCTTGACCTGGATCTGACTAGTCCATGTATTTTCAATGAAGTTGAGATTGGGGCATTTTTTTAAGCTTAATTTTTGCTTGCTTTGTCCATATCATTGCCCTTTTTAAAATGTGTTTAGGATTAATATTCAGTCTGAAAGCCAAGTTTAGTTTTCTTTTTAGTTTCTGCAAGTATCATGTTGACTGTTTGTGAAGTTGAATATTTTTTCAGGATCCCATTAATTTGGTACAATGCACCATTAAAACAAACTTTAGGAAAGCCTCTTAGAGAGATTCAACCATCCTCATCACAAAGGGTGTAATATTCTTAGGTTTCAAAGCTTCACATTGTCTTATTAAAACATTCTCTTTGTTGATGAAAAGCTTTCTGTTTTCCTCCACTGACTATAAACCTTTTCTCCAGAAAAAAAAAAATTATGTTGGGGAGGCTGCAAATTTTTATTGTGGTTGTGTATTCAACACTCTCTTAGGTTACCGGGATGTTAAGGTAGCTTCTCTTTGGACAAAGACACAACTGACCACTTATCTTCCACTTCATGATAGACTTGAGCCTTGGTGGTATCTGGGACATCCTAAACATCTTAACCAGTTTCCTGTCATCAAAGGTGCACTTTGGATCAGTTGATTTTAGAAAATTTATGCAGACTAAAGGGTCCTTGAAAAGCCTTTACCTTGATCGTATTAAAGATATAAGCAGGTAACCAGCAGAGATGGATAATCCAGGTCCACAAGATAAAAAACACTGTACGGGATTTATTTGAAACCATTTGCATTTCCAGCTCCGCAATACAGACTGGGGATTAATCACCTGGTTAAATGAGAAGGATTAAGGAAAATTAGGCAGAGATTTACTGACTGGACCTGGATGATCCCCCTCCGGTACTTTAAGGGGAGACACCGGCATAGGAGACAATTCATCCTACAATCTGAGGATCCAACTCAGACCATCTAAGTTGTGTCTTTGGGCAAAACCCTTCACCTGAGTTGCCTACTAATTCTTCCTGCCTGCAGCTATAAACACCTAAAAAAAAAAAACTGGTTAAAAAAACTGAGTTACTGCAACATTTAATTTTCCTCTGGGATTAATAAAGTCTTTTTTTTTAATTAATTGATGGTGGACGTAGGGCCCAGTGGCCCCCATGTACAGCAGTCCCTATCTATGTCAGTAAGCTTCTGAGCTGCTGTGGCTACAGTGTTGCTCATGACCATGTGTGCATTAATGATATAGTGTAAATAGCTTCAGGGGTCCTTGAACTTGATAAGGGTCTTTTTAATCATTTAAATGAACACCAAAACCTCTGCAAACAATAGTGATCAAATAACGAACCAGAGTTACGTATAGCAGAAGTTGATGGTAAAGAAGCATGTGTTGTTTATCTGCAGGGAAAGTTCATTTCGATATGTGTGGGCTGTGAGTTTATAAATTATTTATAATTGAACTTTTGGAAGTTTATATAAAATTAACTTAAAAAAAGATAGTGGTGCATCTATATTTTTATTTTTTATTAAATGATACATATTATTATTCTACTTTGAAAAAAAAAATTATTTGCAATAATGAAAGGCCAAAATTAATATCACTTTCATGTTTAATAAAGCAGGTATGCAAACACTGTTTGCAAACTTATGACGAGCACTGTTTTTATTTTAAAAAATAATATAAAAATTATTATAATTAATGCATATTAGCACATGTTTTTTGTTTGACTTTGCAAGATGCAGCTTTATACTGCTGCCAAGCGTAAGCCAGTTTTATGCATCATGAGAACTGAGCAGGATTTAGACAGCTGCATGTGCTGAATCAGAATCTTGTTTACACACAATGTTTACCCCTAGGCTACACCCACACTGGTTAAACTGAGCCACAGATCATAATTTTTTTTACATTTGTAACCATCACACCTACTAAAGTCATGTCTTCTATCACACATTTTTATCAATCATAGTAGCACCAATGGGGTGAGACGGGCAGCCAATCAATTAATTGAAAGCACTCGCCCAAGGTCTTCCTGGGCCAATCAAATTAGAATCTCTTGAGAATATTTTTGTGAGAAATCCTGATAAAGGTGACACTTGAAGATATTGAACTTAGAATAAACATGCAAGGCAGGAGGTTTCTAAGATGTTAAGGAGAGATATGAGAGCTTTTGTGAATGTGTGTGTTGGAACACAGGGAGAAGTTGGCGGACCTGGACAGAAGGGAAGCAAAGGAGACAAGGGTGAACTAGTGAGTTCTTATTACTGCACTTCTTTGATTACATTTTGTATTGAGTTTTTTTTTTTTTTTGAAAACTTTAAGTTTAATCCATGCATCATGTTGGTTGAGCAAAAAGAGAATATCTGTACTGTTGATTTTAATACAACTTTTTCCTTATTGTGTGACATTACGACCACAAGTATAAACAGATTTTAATTGGATTTAGCAAATGTTGAAAGAAGTAAATGATTGCTAAATACTGTAAGGTGATAAATAAAAACCTGAAATATTTTCTGTACATTTGGATTCAGTCAACTTCATTTTGAAACTCCAATAAAAAAACTTGTGTATTTATTACCCCCCGGAAGTCATACAATTAGTAAAGAGTGTATTTGGGCAGTTTAATAAAAGCATAAATTCAGCTGTTTTGTGAGAGCTTCAGTAGTTTGATAAAGAACATTAGGGATCAACCAGCTTTATGAAGACCAAAGAGCACAGCAGAAAAGTTGTACTTTAAAGCTATATCTGTAACAGACTTTTATATTTCTTAAAAAAACAGTTTGAGTTTATAATTTTAGAAAGAAAAGAATATGCCTAAGCAGCAACATTCATAGAAGATTAGGCCAGTTTTAGCTCTGATCAGAGATTAACCCAAATGCCAATGGTACATCTAGAAAAACGGAATCAGAAATTGATGAGCGGAGTTAATGAGCTTCATTCTCCAAAAATGAGAGTGGAGCTAGAATGTAAGTATAATTAAATGCTCATCTAATATTTAAATCTTTCTTGATGCAGGAATGTATCAATTCTGGGGAGGGTCAGAAAGGGGCAAACAAAAAAAGCTTTGCGCTATTTTTAAAATGTGAAAAACTTTTGTCTGTGAGTAGCTGCTCCACTTGTTTTGCTTAAGCACCTTTGGACACAGTAACAATGAAGAGCAAGGTGCTTTAGTCAGGTAAAACCAGAACAAACCTGGAGCTTATAATAATATTTCTGGCCCTAAATACATGGCAATCGGCTACATTTACATGTGCAAAATTTCCCCGACTGATCTAAACCTGGTTAATTGGAAATCCTGAATCACTGTTTACATGGACACTAAATAAAATGATCCGATCATGACCTGTTTTTACATGTTCCAAGCGTTAGATCAGAGTAAATCATTTAACTCTGTGTGGAACCGTCTAATTTTCTAGAAACGCTTTGGTAGTAGAATAAACGGCCTGTTTTGTAAACAAACTCATCCTCAACTCTTCAGTTGTGTCTGTTGCTGTAGTTTTTTTTTCCATTATAGACCATCACATGTTTGTAACCATACTTTTGTTTTTGGATGTAATTGTAGTTAAGGGCTCAGCAGTACCTTATTCGAATGCTCCTTCACTAAAAGGGTACAGGGCAGGATGATATGTTCATCCGGACATTTCATTAAGAGCTACCTCCTCCACCGAGGACCAGGAGCCAGCAGATTAAGGTTAGGAGTAAAGAGGAAAAACGTCACGCTGTTGTTGCACACATGTGCTGTGGAGATTATTTTAGTCTGAAGATCCCAATGGGTGTGTAAATGGTGCCAATCGGAAAGGTGATCAGAAAAAAAACTCTTCTCTGTTTTTGACTGAAATTTCTTCCGAAACAGATGAGAATCATCAGTCTGACATGACAAATACAGTCTGGTTATTTATGTCCATGTAAATGTAAGTGAGAGGCTAAATGTACAGACTTACATTAAAATGATTTTGATTATATCATAGTATTAAGTTACAATACAATTAATTGAGTCCACCTTCATTCTGTAGAAAGAGATCAAATAGATCTTAATTGAGACTTTCCATCTAATCTAAGTGTTCAGTTTTTCTGTGCAACATTTTTGCGTTGACTACTATAATGTTTTGTTATCATCTGGTATAGCAGCCTTGTTTTTTGCCTTTTTCCTTTAGGGTCCACCTGGCTCAACAGGTCTCCAGGGGGTGATTGGAGCTCCCGGTCCAGCTGTAAGTATCTCATCCTCTGAGCTATTAAAATTCACCATATTAAATATTAACAGTTAGACTTAGTTGACTTTAAAATTTTAACTTTCATGTATTTTATATTCAGTAAGCAAGCACCCAGTTTGACATAGGCTCCAAAGAGATAGTTAACTTTGCAGGTGTATCAGTATTCCCTGCCAATATCCTCTTCATATTTTCAAAAAGGGCTTCCAGCTTCTTTTTTTTTTTTTTGCTTTGCAGCTCATGGATGGTTAAAAAATATGATGCCAAAAAAATAGCTGTTCAAATAATGCTTGCCCCTGGCTGCAAAACAAACAAAAAAACAACAATAAATTACCTGGGACTGGAAATGTTTACTCTTATCAAGGTCTCATCAAGACAGGGAGTGTTTATTTAAATCAAAGGGCTGCAAAACTCTAAGCTCCTTGGAAAATATGCAGTTCTTAGATGATGTTAACGGAATTATAAGTGGATTACAAATTTTATCTGGTCATGGTAAGGCATGATAAAAATTGGAATTTGTACTCTGCAACATATAGAGCAAAGTGTTATATACTATGAGAATAAATGAGTGTAAAGCTAAAAAAAAATAAAAAAATAATAATCCAATATACTGACATAAATACTACCAGCAGGTGTTAACTTAAATTTTTTTTTTGTCAGGTATTGTTGATAGTTTTGTGTTTATGTTTTTCCATCATACTTTTGAAAGTTGACCTCAGGCTCTTAGCAGAGTTATGTTCTTCTGATTTTTTAGGGATGATTAGCCAGACAACACTGGGATTAAATGGTTGCTTTAGCCAGGGTCACAGGATGAGATCAAATCATCCCTCATTCTCTAACCAGTGACCTTGATTTCCCAGGCCAAACAACTTTCCACCACTATTTTCTTTTCATCCTTACTCTTTCTGCAGAACTTGTGTGGAATTGCTCCTCTTGGACTGACTTGACCGACTCTTTACAAACAAAAAACAAACAAAACTAATGATGGTTTACCTGCCGGCTTGCAAATCTTTCTTATATATTAGTTAAATTATCAGAAAATGCTGCAGAACCTCCTCCACCAGGACAGTGATCTATTCTACATTAGCTGGTGGCTTCAGGGGGGGCTGAGCAGCTCATTGCTAAAATAATAAGGCTTCACCAACCATTCCATGAAGCATATACTGTCTGCAGGGCCATGTGGGGGCTGTAGTATACCAGCTTAGACAGATTGCTCTAAGTGCACCCATGCTGAATAGAAAATTATTTAACAGTTGCTTTTCCTGACAAGTCAATCTGCTTATGCGCATTCCGTTCTTCACAAGTGAACTCTTACTCATGCTATGTAGTCCTGGCTGAATTTGGTCTCATTAAAACATGTTTTTAGATCATTATGTGTATTATGGGCACACATTTTTTATTTAGGAAATCACTAGTTTTAAGTAGAAATAAATGTTCTTCTAAAATGTTCAACATTTTAGTCAAAGATGGGATAACCGTATAACAAATGGATGGGTTAAGCTATATACTTCCATAATAAATATTTGATTTGAAAAAAACAAATATTGATTTTTCTTAAATTATTATTAACAGTATTTCTTTAGGATTAGTCCTACAAACAAAATTATTGTGTGGTTTTTATTTCTGTTTGGTTTAAGCTGGGTTTGAACATAGGGAAATCTAATACAGTAACTAGTCTTTTATATTTATTTTTTGCAGCTATCCCTAACGCATTAGTTTGTCTGACAGAGCTGTAGTAGCTAATACAGTCTCTCTTTTCATTGAAAAAGATAAAAACACTTTGATTGCCAAGGAAAAACTGATCCCTGTGCAGAACACTATAAATTATCAATATACTTTTACTTAGGATTGGATTGACACTATTGTTAATTTAGGTATAGGCCAATGTATACTTATCTTATACTTCTACATTGCTTGTGATGCTGAATACAAACTTTTGCATTGTGCTGGTACACCTTTAAGGTGTTAGGGTCTGACTTAAAACAAGTGTGCTGCAGAACTGAAATAAATAAGTTCAAGCACGTGGGTGAAATGAATGCTATGAAGTTGACTGACAGGACAGAATTTAAATTTTTTAAAATGTAACCCACACAGCTCTGCTTCAAATCTCCACAAAGTTAGATTTGCTTCTTGTTTCTCACAATTTTTTGTCACTTTTTCTGTATTTTTCCAAAGCTGTGCTCGTTTTCCCCATAATCACCTAACATTTCTCTCTAAACTGTTCTGCATTCAGCACCATCGCCTGAGGCTCCCTACATGTCCCAGGGCTCTGCAAGAGCTCCTAAAGCACTTTCAAGTGCTGACACGTGTTTGAACTGAAAACTCCCTGTCTGTCAGCACTTCACTCTTTCCCTACAGTATCCTCTTTCTACCCTTCGCAGGTCGATGTACCTCTGACTTCACAGAAGTCAGCATCTTTCACCATAGCCCTGTGGCAGTTCTTTTCTGCATCTTGTATTTTCCTGGAGAGACTCACTAGTCAGGGAGCCTTCTGGTAGCACAGTAAAAAGGACACATTATTGACTTGCTGCGTCACCCTTGGCCACTTTTGGTTTGACTTTTGGTGTTAGACATTGAATCTCGAAAGGATGAAATAGTTTTCACCATGTAGCTTCACTGTAGAGTCTAAATTGCCTTTCACAATTTGCATTTGGGTGGGGGACGATGCCACAGATCTGATACCTGTATTGGATATCATCTCTGATATTGACTAATTAGCTGGATTGCATGTCAGTAATTTGATATTGGATTCAGTTTACATGAAACTGTTATTTCTTTCTTCTTGCTGCTTATATGTTAATGAATAATATTAACCCTATTTATATGAGGGTAAATTTATTATGTTTTTTTTTTTAACAACAAACATTTATGTCAAGGCTAAAGCCTTCACTTACATGGCAAGATAAGTGGTTCATTCATTCAACAGCTGATATCGATACTGGCCGATACGCTCAGGTATTGGATTGGGTTAGAAAAATCTGAACTGTCCATCTTTAGTTGGCACAATAATTACTGTAATGGTAAAATGATAATGACCTATATCTGCTTGGTTTTGGTTGGTCTAGCTCCCTTGGGACTGGATCCATAACTTGGCCTATTAGGCTACACACAGTAGTGTGGATGGGCTGAGTATCCTACATCTTCTCTGCCCTGGGATTCTACTCTTTTGCCTCAGAGACAACCCACCTCTGTGTATGGCTGCCCTTAGTGATGCCTTGTGTCTTCTGTGGCTTTTCAGAGCCAGATCTGCCTTTAGTTGGCTGCTCTAATTGCTGTAGGTGGCAGAAATCTTTCTGCTCTCGCCACTCTTACAGTACATCTAGTCACCTTCTGGTGACCAACTTTCTCACTTATTCCCACTGAACACAACCACACTTTAAGTCTAAACACTGAATCACCCACCCACACATATAAAAGCACCCACATACCAACACACAAATGATACATATTTTTGAAACTCTGATGAAACACATGCCTACCTACTTTAATGCTAAGTCAATCATGCAGTTAGGATACCTACCATGTTGAGATATCTTTGTTGTAGACCAAAGGTCCCCTAGCACATATAGGCAACCATCTTCTCTATGAGTTGACCAAAATGCAGCGACAGGACACATAAAAGACATATATAGATTAATCCCTTTGGGAAACTAATGTTCAATTTTGGAAAAGTTTCAGTACCACTGTGAAAATGCTACATCTCACAAACACAAAGTTTTAGAATGCTAAGGCTAGATAAAGCCCATAAGCTTTCTAAAATATGCCATGTATTTGCAAAATCCTTCCTTTTCTATGTGAGTTCACATATACGTTTTAACCTTGAAGTGTATTAAGGATAAACCCTATTTGAGTGGTTGAATTTGCTGCAGCTACAGCTAATGAGATTTTATGAACCCTGCCCTCCCACAGGGCAGTGATGGTGAGCCTGGGCCAAGAGGACAGCAGGGCATGTTTGGCCAAAAAGGAGATGAAGGACCCAGAGGATTTCCAGGGCTGCCGGGACCTATCGGACTGCAGGCAAGTGTCCACAAAATCTGCTGCTTTTTTAGTTCCACATTTTTAGCTGTCGGACTCATATTTTGAAAAACAAGACATGCAATTCACGTTAACCACTGTCCCATTGGGTATGCATATGGCTTTTCCCCTGTTGAAGCCATCTAATGCAATAAGACTTACTGCAAACTGCTTTAAACCTATAGCAATTCATCTCCCTGTTTATAATAAATCAAGACAGATCGTATTTTATTAATGCGACTTTGACACCCAATAACACTTTATTTACCTCTAAGTTAATAATGCTTTACCCGCTCAAGGACATTCCTTAGTATAGGTGGGGCTAAAATACAGCACTATTGTCAACATTTTGGTGTTTTCTGTTTGGATTTCGATTCAAATTAATTTAAATCCATGCAGTAAACTTCAATCCCACAGTGTCCTTGGTCCAAAAAATATGATAAACCACTTAAAGCTGTCAAATCTGCTCTTCCACGTCGTCTCTTATGAACATCACACATAAGTTTAATTTCCAAGGGATCTAAAGCACCACATGCTTTCTGCATTGAAGGCACAGAGGGGAGAGTGATCTGAGGGCTTTTAACAATAATGGATTCACAGTTTTGTTTTCAAGCTTAACACACTTTTAGCTGTATTTCTCTTTATTTTCCATGACAGCAGTCAATTGATTTGTGTCGCTGTCACAACAGAGTACCATATTTTCTCATTTGAAAATAAAAGCTTGATGCAATACACAAAGTGTGCACCCTGAATTTATGCATTCCACTCAGGGATTTTTAGTATATGACAACCTGTAGGTTATGGGGACTATTAGTTCAACCATCTAAAAAAGTTATAGAGGAAAGCTAAGTTTTGATCTACGTTTGAAGATTCAGTGGAGGTATAAATAACTGTGCTACAGGCCATTTTTTAAACACAGTTGTTTCTTTACATGGGATTTAAGTAAAATTAAATTATGGGATATTTTTTCAATGTGAGATTCTGTGGTTTTAGTAAAACAGGAGTTGATGCCAGCCTTAATCCAACACTGTGCATAATGAAAGCAACATCAAAGAGCAAAAAATTTAAAACAGTTTTCATGCATGCATGGCATTTCTTTATATGTAGAAAGGGTACAGAAGGTTAAAAAAAAAAAACTAAAGTATGACCCCATCATGCCAGCATTGCTCAACACCAGCTTTGATAGTGCATCCATTGATGTTTTGATCAATCAGCAACAACCTCTTGTAGGAGTGGGGTTAAGGATTTGATTGGAAACCATACAAGCAGTATTTCACCTACAACAGCAGTGTATCACCATAACTTTTAACACAAAACATAAAATGTTATAGTAAAGGAAAAAATTCAGAGAGAGCAGTATTTAAGTGTACTGTATAAACTGAAAGTGTAACAGAAGGACAAACTGCTATTGATACTGTACATAAGCAGAAGAGTTTAGTCAGCCTTAAGAGGATTGTGAAGGAAACACCTTTTATTATCTTCAGGGTGAGTAATGAATTGGATTGCAGCTGGAGTCAGAGCTTTAGGACTTGAAATCTGTGGGAAACAAAATCAATGATAGATGAAGATGCACTTGTATCGTACTTGTAGTAAAGACCTCTGTTTTTTATTTTAAGTTGTTATATCCCAGATTGGTTGATTTTGGGCACTTGAGATAACAAAGGATTAAAACCAAAACAGACTTGTACCATTGTGAAAAAAATGGTCTAATCTGTGAAACATCAAAGATGTTTGTTAAAAACTGTCCTGAACTCTTAATGTCTTCTCGTGTTTGTATTAGGCATTTTGGAAAAAAAAAAAAAAATGCTTTAAATGTTTTAGTACACACTACATTTGGTTTTCTTAAAAAAAGGTCAAATTTGTGAACATTTATCACACTTAGTTTAAATAAACTACATGTTTGAAATGTATCTGTTTTATGGTGGGTAAAGTATGTTTTCGTCTTGGTCTTTCTTAGTCTAGCTGTTAGTTTCAACACATTGGACCAAATTGTCTGGTTTTACACTTAATGAGAAGACAAAGGTAGTAATTTAGCCTTTCAGTGGTTCCCAAAGTGGGGGCTGGCCCCCCTGAGGCGTCCCCATCTAGTTGCAGTGTAAGGACTCGGAACAGAGGACCCAGTATTCAAGGCAGACAGACAGTTGGATAATTCTAAAGCGTTTATTGAAAAACGGCAGATCTGCAGTAACAGCAAGGACGTCTAAGGCAGGAACCCCTGCAGGAGGAAAACACATGTTAGTGACCACGTTAATCTGACGGAGGATGATTATGAACATGTGAGTCACTAACCTGGTTTTATAGTTCAGTCCATGCCCAGAGAACAAAGTTGATTCCAGCCGGTTGGCTGACAACGAGACGCGACGGGCGCCACCCTTAGAGTACCAGACGCCGTAGTCTCAGAGGACGGAGAACAAGCAGGATATCAGATTCAAGCAGACTAAGGAAGGCAGGATAATCCAGTGGGTGGAGCCAAAGCCGGTTCAGAGGACGTGCCAAGGATTCAGAACCAGGAGATCAGAAGTCAGAAATGGTTCAAAAAGGAAATCAGAACAGTGTCAGGAATCAGTTCCAAGTTCAGTTAACAGATAGAATCCAGCAGGAGTCCGAGGACAGAGAAACAGATCAGATGAGAACAGGCAGGCTGAGTGGTTGACAGGCAGAGCAGGTCAGGATCAGGTAATCAGAAACACTAAGGTAATGCTGAAACACTCTTACCACTGGCTCGAGAATATTCTGGCACTGATGACTGGAAGCTGGTTGGTTAAATAGTGACTGGAGCAGGTGACAATAATTAGGGGTGATGAGAAACTGGGCAGACCTTGTCAGGTGAATGATATGAGTAATCCAGCCAGTCATCAGCAGCAAGATTGTCACATGCAGGGGTGGAGTGGTTGAAATAAACTGAATAAAGGAAGTTTTTTATTTTAATTTTTTTTATAGATTACCGTGTTACATAATAAAATAACCAGTTACAATAAAATAATTACTTTTTAAAGGTGATATTTTTTATTTACCGTAAAAGAGATTGTAGCTTATTTAACTAAAAAATTTTACTTATTGTAGTTAGCTTTTCTTTTATCTTTGGAAAAGTGAAAAGGAAACTGTGGGGTAATTGATAAGCAATTTAGTGTAAAAAAAAAAAAAAAGGCCCAACAGCAAAAGTCTGGGAACCATAGTATTAAGGGATTCACTGTTTTTAACAAATTAATAGAGCCTCACAAAAAAAGAAAAAAATAATAAATGATGAAATCAGGAGCTTATGGGGGAAAAGCTAAGCAGTAGCACATTGATTCATTTAAATTGATGAGCTGAAGTTTAAGGAAACTTCTTTTGATAGCAATGAACAAAGAAACGATATACTTCAGAGTACCTCAAAGTCAATTATCCAAGGACCCACTGAGGATGAAATTAGAGCAAAGCTCTGTCGGTCAATAGGACTAGATAACATTGTTATTAAGTGCAATTGGCTTTTAATTGTGCATAATGCACTCCAACTCTACTCTTCTCTTTTAATTATTTTTTTGGCTAAGCTACCCTTCAATACACAGCACCAGCTGCTGCAAGATCAGCTTTTCAATGCAATTATCTGTAGCATTAATGATTTTTGACCAGGGGGAAGGAATGTCGTCGCCCTGAAATCCTTCAATCAATTCGTGCAGTTTGCTGTTGAGCGCTACAGTCCTCCCTGAGAGAATGAATCCTCCAGATTAAGAGGTTAAGATGAAGACACAGAAGAAAATAAATATTACATTTGTCCATATTATAATTCAAGGCTGGTGTGGAAACTTGAATGAGTGCCAAGTCTTGACATGTATTGATTTCTGATGGTGTATGTCAAGGTTTGTTTATTTGGTATTTGCTAATTAAACTCGTACAGTTTTCTTCATTCTTTCTAATCTATATTCTTCAGTGCGTTTTTAATTAACAAGCGTTACACATACAAATTGGATCAGCATTGTTGTTGTTGTTTTTTTTTCATTTTACATGACAAATTATTATATAACAGTTGCAAGGAATTAGTTTACAAGAAATTGTTTCATGCGAGATTTAACTTTCCATTTTTACAACAGTCGTAACAAAAAAACGAACCTCCCATTAAGGGCAAGTTACAAATGGATTCCTTGGCTAATGTATATCAATGAAAATAAAATCTAACATTACATATACATATATATACATGTATATATGTATATATAGATATATATATAGATGTATAAATCATAGCACTGATTGATATCCAATTAAATCAATCCAATTTACTATTACACTCCAATTATTATAGCCACTTTCCATATCTTTATATGTTATACAGGCTCCATCTTTGTGCTTCGGCTATCAAAAAACATAATAACTGCTTTTATATTGATACATAACAGGCAACAATAAACAATGACACCTTTATCCTTTCTAGACGTCCACATTTCTGTGCTGCATTTACACTCTTTGTGTTAAGAATGACTGATTTCCTAAACCACATAGTAGGCATCGCCTCCACAGTCGCATTCGTCCCACTCTGCTGTGGACGTGGATGGATGAAGTTTCCACCCTGTAATTTACACAGGCTGATTATACCCAAGCCTCCCATACCCTTTAATTACAATAGGTGTCCCTTTTGACTAATTGTGTGTTTATGCTCTGGGGCTCAGTTAGTATTGATGCACTCTCCATCGCTTTGCATCCCTTTGCTGCATTTTTTTTAAAAATGTGTCATCTAAAAGTACCTGGTAATGAGCAGAAAGAATGTATATGTCCCTGTCCTTGGACTCTTTAATGTGGAAGGCTGCCTCATTTTACCTTAGCTTCTGTGTTCTCAGCAGTATTTGTCATCTCTGCAGGGTTTGCCTGGCCCTCCTGGTGAGAAGGGAGAGAATGGAGATGTCGGACCAATGGTGAGTGCATCTACCTCTGTAACTTTTCTGTTACAGCGTTCTTAGATTATATTTACATGCACTCCCACTTCAGGGGAATTCTGATTGCTAAACACTTTTATTGAGGGGTGAGTTTGGCAACTCTACAAGGAATACATTTAGATTATTTTGAAGGAAATGTATTGATTTTATTGTGGAGCTTGGGCACCAAATATGTGTCCAGAGCTATTGAATCAAAGTATTTTATTGCAGTGGTATGCATGCAGAGCAAGCACATATGGGTGTATTTCAATAAAGAAATATATATTTTTTAACATAGTTAAAAAGGTAAAACTTATAATTACCTAGGTGGGTTGCACAGGGTCATCATTTTAAACTTTTATTTCTGTAGATTTGTATTATAAATGCTTATATTTAAAAATTATATAAAGTTTAATAAAGCTAATTTTGGATAAGTAGTATCAGTTTGACATAATTGAATTGACTTGAAATCTGTCTTTATTATTAAATTACATTTTTTTCATAAAGTGCCATGTGTTGGAAATTGACCCTATAACTGAACTATATCACTGCCCTAAAACCCAATTGTCAGAAGAAGCCGAATGTGTAGAAAGCTTCAAATCTAAGGAATTTACAGAAAATTAAGTGGAAGGAAAGTTTTTCAGCAGGTTGACGGATTTAGGTTCAAGTATTGTTTACTAGCTCAGATGTTAGTACAATAATATTTTAAGTTAAAGACAATTTGTTTTCAGTTTGAAATTATTTTTCAATGACATACTTTATACACAGTTTATACAAAAACAAAACAAACCATATGGATTTTGTTCTTTCCTTGTTACACATAAATAATGTATTATTTTTGTGTTTACTTAGGCTAAGGGGAATGCAAGGTAACACAATAAAGTGGCAATAAACATCGCTTCTTTGCCTTATAAATATTTGGCCAAATAATTTTTTCTCCGGTTTGAACTAAAGTTATTTAGTAAATATACTGTATTATAGAAAAATAAATCCAGCTCAGTGCATTTGATGTTGACCTGGATGATACAAAATATTTGGTAAAATACTGTTATTTACATTCCAAATATAAAAACCCAGCAGTCACACTGAATGAAACATCTGCATATTTTGTATGTGGTTGTGTAAAGACAGTGTACTATGTAAAAATGCAAGTATGTTGAAAGTCTGACATATCTTTATATTTTATGATAATGGCTGCCATGTTTTCTTTTAAAATAACTAGTGTGCTGTGGTGTTACATCCAAATTAATATAACTATCAACAGCAGATATTTCCATTTTTTCTGTCTGTGTTAGGATGGAAATAGATCTGCTAATAAGTCCAGTAGCACCGCATCATTCTAAACTCTCTTTCTGATAGGGTCCACCAGGTCCGCCCGGTCCCAGAGGTCCACAGGGGTCCAGTGGAGCAGATGTGAGTTTAGCTTTAATTTTTATATCCTTTATTTCATTGAGTTTTGGCCTGAATCGAAATCAGCCAAAAATAAATAAATGGATAACGGATTCAACACGTTTTATGGTTGTGATTTGTATTTAGGGTGCACAAGGTCCCCCTGGAGGTGTTGGTTCAATGGGAGGTGTTGGTGAGAAGGTAAGATACAATAAACTGGAGACTAATCATGCAAAAGTACATTTATCCCAGTTTAACTGGTTTATCAATCTGGTTTATCTGATTTATGTCCTTAGGTAGGTGATTGCTCAAACCTTTTAAGGAGTTACGTGTTCTTTGATTTGCATAGCTGCAAAACATGAAGCATATCTGATTTAACACTCTAATTATAAAGATGTTTATAGATTTTTATGTCACTTTTTTACAGGGAGAAACTGGGGAGGCCGGTAACCCAGGACCACCTGGAGAACCTGGTATTGCAGTAAGTATGAAATTCCAATAGAAATGCTTTTTTATCTAATTTCAGGTGATTTTTTTCCCTGTATCTAAATATGATGCGTTATTTTTTTTAAAGAAAGAAAACAGCCTGTTATTTTGATTCAGACTAGCTCTTAATTAGAGAATTGTATTTTCCAATTAAATTTTTACTTACTATAAATTTTTACCCATCTCCAATTTTTATAAACTAACTATTTTGACCATCATCCCCTCTCAGAGGTAGAGCTTTATACTGGCAGAATACTCCACTCCTCCAAGGGTAGCATATTATTTGGGGAAACATTAATGTTTAAGAAATAAAATAACAACATAGTGTGTGTGCTAAATGAGTTTTAATCACTAATTTGCATGTTAAGTCTAAGAGAAATTAATACTAGGTGCTATAGGTTATATTATGTGTGTATATCTCACAGCTGTTATTGATCCAGGCGAACAGTAGCCAGTGTTTACCAGTGACTGAAAACCCTTTATCTCAGTCATTGGTGTGAGTCTTCTTGTGTGTGACTCCATCAGTGGGTATTGATGTTTCTGCCAGCTGCATCATATCTGTTTAGTGATAAATTGACCCCGTGTAGCAAAGAAAATCAAGGTCAATTCTGAGGTGGCACGCTGGGAGTCTCTAAATAAGAGCTAATGTTTGATAGTTTAACGGATGATTGTGGTCCTGTAGCTATGCTTTAACAACAGGCCATGCGTTAAATGTCCAATTCTGCTATTAGCAGAGTAAAAATAATCTACTGTTAAATTTATCAAGCAGATGATCTGGACTGAATGGAGCATGAAGTTCAGATCTGCTCTTAGCTTAGTAACTTTCTCTCTTACCTCATGTTTTGCTATCCACTGATGTGGAAAACAGACATTTAGCATTTTCTATATAGTTTAGAGTTTGCTTTTCTGGTTCTTATGATTAAAAAGAAACTTTACTGAAATTTCTCTCCAGGGCCTTAGAGGTGAGACTGGTGAGAAAGGAGAAACCGGCCCACCCGGAGCTGCTGGACCCCCTGGTGGCCGAGGACCTCCAGGAGACGACGGTCCCAAGGGAAACCCTGTATGTGGGCTGTTCTTAAACACACACTTTTCCCAGAGCTATGCATCAGTAGAGCTGTCAGTGATAGCACAATTTTTTGACATTTTTCAGTTTAACTGCCTGCTGCCAGAACTGTTGTTGACACAGTGGAACACATCCGAGTCAAACTCAGTCTTCTCAATATCTTGATTTTTCTATAGGGAATTGCCGGCTTCCCAGGAGACCCGGGTCCACCTGGTGAGCCTGGTGCAGCAGTAAGTTTTCCTTTTCTGCTCTTTTTTTTAACATGAAAACAGATGGAGAACTATTTTAATAAGCCTGGCTTACTTATTTTATTATTTTTTTAGGGTCTGGATGGTTTAGGTGGTGAGAAGGGTGATGATGGAGAGCCTGGACAACCGGTGAGTTTAGTTTGATGAGACGTTTTACTTAGTTTCCCATTAAAGATTTAAAAAAAAAAGAAAAACCACAATTCTGACATATTTTGTTTGATTGAAAATGTATTAGAATCTTTGAATCTTATATTCAAATATCCTTTTTTTTCAGCGTTTGCAAAATATATCAAACTTTTTATTAAATTCTCATATATAGAATTTTGGGCAGTAATTGCATTAAGATGAATCACAAAAGAAGCAAAACTTTTATATTTAAATGTTAAATATTCTGCATAAAAGAAAACAGTTCTTTTTTCCAATGACATGCAGAGCTGAGTATCTAACACCACTTAATTTCTCTAAAGTGAGGCTAAGTGTTCCTATATGCTCTAATTTAGGGTCCTCCAGGTCCATCTGGTGAGGCTGGAGTACCTGGTCCTCCTGGAAAAAGGGTGAGTACTTCTCCAAGTGATGCTTTGGATAAGATACTCCTGTTGAGCTCTTGGTCTCTATTTTTAAAGTTCTCTTTGCATGCCCCAAGCTACTTCATTACGCACTGATCCATATTTATAAGGGTGGGCTTAGGTTTGAAATGTATTTCCTTCTGTTTCACCAAAAATGATTCCCACAGAGACAGAGAAGCATAAAGAGTTTGCATTGATTGAAGATAACATTCATTGGTAATACAGACATTTTAATGGAGAGATAAAAGATTATTGGAGGAAATTAGATGTTTATTTAAAGTTCTAACACGTCCTCTTAACTCTTAAGTCCTAAAACCATAGACATGGTTACATAACAGATTTTAATATGAATCATTCAAATTATTGACTGACTGGTTTGTTTCCTTCAGCAGAAATGTCAAACTTTACTTCTAAAGCTTTAGGAAGTGCAAATTTTACTGAGTTATGTGGATCGGGTCTAAACAACAAAAATGTTTCTAAGATGGTGGAATAATCAACAGTGATGGTTAGGACCCTAAAACAGACACAGCTTATTTATATTCCCCTATATGCTAATTACATTCTAAACCAGAATGAATGTGTTTTACAATGTCACTGACTCAGTGTATTCGGCTTGGTTTATTTAGAAAGAAAACTTTTAACTAAACTGTCTGCATATTTGGATTGAATTCTTTTTTTTTTTTAGATGCATTAAGATAATATGTGTTGTAAAATGGCAGTTTATAAATAAAGTGAATTGAATGAATTCAGTGTTTTTTGTTTCTTACTGGAAGTTTCTTACTGACTTCATGCCAGTACCTACCAGCCAGCTGGACATTTTGTGCCTTTTTCTGAACATCTACAGTATAATTTTAATTACTCTATATCTTCAAAGTTTTCTTCTCAGCTTTGACAACAAACAAATGCAACTATGTTAACAATACCACAGACTTTAAGCTAATCTATAAATATCCAATATTGGGAAGTCTTATAATTATTTTGATTGGGTATAATCTTCTGTGTCTAACAAAAATTAACTATCCAAAACAGATAATATCACTGTAAATAAAATAAAATAAATAATAGAATATTTGTCCTTTAAAATATTAAATCTATTATATCTATTCAGAATTTTCCCTGCATTGTAGCATTTTTATAAGTTTACTTATTATAATCTATTCATACATGTTGTTCCATATGATGTTAATCATGGACAGTTTTTGAACACTGACATAGCCTGGATGAGATTTAGAATCTTGCTCACACCCTTTTCCCCAAGACTCCTTATCTCTGATAAATTAGCTTTTTTTCCAAAGTCTATATAAATTTTTCTCATTACATTTTTTTACTGCTCTGCAGAGGAGAGATTTCTTTTAAATAAACAATTAATAAAAGATATGGGTAAAAGTTAAGACAAAAAGATTTACAAAAAGTCAGATTAAGATGATTCTTGCCTATTTTTGATTCCTTTACTGTGCTTCTCCCATTCGTTTTCTGCTATTTTGATATTTGTTTTTTTGTCCTACTAGAATAAAACTTTTAAGGAGGCCTATTTTAACATATTTTTTTAACCAGCTTATGATACTTAGTGGAAATACACCAGTTGAAAATTTTGTAGATAATTCCCGAGTTTTCAAGGTTTTCCCTTAAACAATACGTGTAGGTGCTGTTTGATATATTATTATTGCATTATTGGTATTTAGATATTAATGTGTGGTGCCTGTTTTTCAACTCACAAGGTTTGGCTGGCATAATATACATTAGTTAACAACATATGACTGTAGCTTGACTTTAAATGCAGGTCAGGTAGGGTTGATCATACATTTTAAACAAGTTGGTAAGCACTTTTTATCCCCATAATTTGTATTCCCCTGGCTAGCGCTGAACAAATTAGACTCCAGTTCCATGTCCATATTAATGGACTCTGTAATATAATTTTTCATCCTTCACCAGGGTAATTCTGGCTAAGCCTCCATCCTGGTATCTCCTTAAAAATGACTCCAGTTTGGTGTTCATTGATGCGTGTAACTCCTTGACTACATTAGCACACAGATACACCCACACACTAGTGCCTGCATACACATATTATCCAGGGTTCATAACCTACATGGAGGACCTGTGGCTTTTGTGTTGTGCTTTCGATTATAGCTACTAATGCCACATGTTAGCCCACTTAGGGGCTGTTTCACCAGAGGCTGTGTTGAGAAAAGGCTGATGCATTTGTATCGGCGTGTAAATATTATGTGGGACAGTTGCACTTATCCCGCCCAGCTTTGCAAACCTCTTCCCTTTCTCAAAGTCAGAACAAACTTTACCTAAATGATATGATGGCACTATTTTCAGTTGATTTTAGATAATTTTACTGTAGATTAACTTAATCTGTACTCTGGTTCTTATAAATAGGCTATAAATATCCTGAGGTTATTTGATATAAAGAACTTAATGGTGACTGATTTTTTTTTTCTCAGGGAGGCATTGGACCAGTAGGTCAAGAAGGAAAACAAGGAGAAAAGGGATCTAAGGTAAGTTCTAGTGATCTGGATTGTACAAATCAAATTAAAATTTTTGCACTGTTTGTAATTTTTACTTGGTTTACATTTAGATATTTCAGCCTTTTTAAAATATTGCTAAAAATGATCTGTTTGATCTGAAGTATTCTATTTTAACTCTATATGTTTTCTATTTTGTTTACACATATGTAAAACAAACGTATACCTCCTCAACAAAATAAAATATTTCAGAAACTAAAAAAATGTAAAATATATAACTACATAGAATTTGCATTGTGTAAATAGGAAAGCATACAAGATGGAAAAATATAGATTTCTGTAAAATATCAATAATAATTCATAAAGACAGGTGACATTTCAATTTCATTACATATTAGAATTATTCAATAAAGTTCTATTTCATCCCTACTGATGAATTCATAGAACCGTAGTTACATACCTAACTTTCGTTTTTTTTGTTTTTTTTTATCTGAAATAAAAAAAAACAAAGGAATCTGAAACACAGTTACTGTATAACTTGTGTCAGGTTTTGTTAGTGTCTAAGAAGTTAAGTTAATTTATATTGGTCCTAACATCAGCAGCACCACTACGTTGATGTAGCGTCATTGATTGATGTTTTGCTTTAAGAGGGAAGAGGAATTTTAAACCTTTTAAAAAAGTCCCAAAAACTGTCGGTCTTACAAAATACTAGAAGTCACCCATCTCCAAATGTTTTCATCTGATGTCCTGCTGAATTGTCCTATATTGCTGCAAATTAGCTGTATGAAGGAAATTATGAGGTCCCTAGAGGATCAAGATATTTAATTTTAACATCCTTGCATTTCCACCAGCATCAACGGAAAAAAGTCTAATTTAAGCCATAAAGACAATGTTTCACATCTAAGTCAGATAACATGAAGAATCATAAGGCCAGAACACACAATTTGGGTACGCCTTTTTGATCTCCAATACATCTGCTCAGATTTTTTTTCACTTCTGTGTCTGTGCCATACAATTTAAAACAATTTCCCACATTTGCTTTGGACAGATTATGATCAGTTATAAAAAAGATAAATAACAATCCCAAAGCCCTACTTGACAAATGTGAAGCATCTCAAATAAGAAAAGATAGAGAATTTTCCAATGCCAATATTAAAAACATGATGAGATCTAAATCTAAAGAAAAGATTGCCGCTAAATTCCTGTGCAGTCTGACTAAAATAGACCTGGGGTTTATCTCAGTTGGAGCTACGCAAACCCCTTGTGTAGAATCATTGACTTTCAATGAGCTCTAAACGCCACAACCCTGTTCGACACGATTTTCTGTCGGATCGGATGCAAAATCGTATTCGGTGTGTTCTGGCCTTAAGTCATAATAATGTAACTATGTAGTTAACACCCCCCGGATGATAATTTCAGAATACCAAATCTGATCCTAATCCTAATTGGTTGTCAAAACAAGCATAATTACCTCAAGTCAATCAATAACGTGCACCTCCTGGGATTTAACACATGAAAACCTTTAATTGCACAACATTCTAGCCCCTCCCACTTCTCACTTCCTCTTGTGCTTTGACTCTGAAACCAACATGAGTTTTCAGACTTTGAACCTGCTGAGTATTACCCTATGTTAGAGTTCTTGAAAAGTCCTTCTGGTCGGATGGTTACCATTTAGTACTATATAGGTCATTCATTTTTTAGTGACTAGTCCGGAGGATGTTGTTTTAAAAGGTTTGGCTACAGTTAATCTGCTAAGACCCTCCAGGTATACTGAAGAACAACGCTCATATATGCATTTTACACCATTAAAGAACTTAACCTAACAAATGTGACTCAAAAATCCATTGTTCACTCTCCTATATACATTTTACCATACGTTATTTGCAGGCTTTGGCAGGGAATTGTTTTACATCATTTAAAGAATAATCATGATAAAATTGTTTACATTCTTGACAAATACTCTCCATCACACTTTTGAAATATGAAAACGGTGCATTTTTAATTCCAGGTTTACTGAAACAGAAATAAAGTCATTATTTCTGATCAAAGACCTTATTTTAAAAGTGGTTCTTTAGATTTGGTAAAGTTTGGGGAAAGATACTGAATCACTGAACTGAATAGGTTGTTGTTATGTTTTTTTGTTGTTTTTTCTGAGGCTAAGATCATCATCTTTTCCATTTTATTTAGGGAGAAGCTGGATCGGAGGGACCTGTTGGAAAAACTGGACCTGTTGGGCCTCAAGGTCCCCCTGGAAAGCCTGGTGCTGAGGGTCTGCGTGGTATTCCTGGCCCTGTTGTGAGTTGAGCTAAAACTTGATGCCCTATGAAATATGTAGTTATTAGTGGCACTCCTTGAATCAGGGGTTGCTGAACCTAATGTTCAAAAGTCAGAGAGTGATTTCTAGATAAGGTCAAAGGTCGCTCAGAAGCAAATTAATTCGATTTTTATCTCTATTTGATTCTATTTTTACATATTTAACTACATTATTTTTCACTTATATTTTATGCATACGAATTATCAAAATAAACTGACCTTTACACCATGACCTTCGATTCATTCATTTATGTTAGGCTACATCTATTACAGAAACTGTAAACCAATAATCACATATGTAATTAGCCAAAGTTGTTACTTTCAACAAAAAACTATGCTTAACATTGCGCTTGCTTTCTACAGTTTTCTGGAAGCTTTAAGTCAGATTGAAGTCCCCTAAGAAGTTATTTTTTAATTGAGTAAAAAGTCCTTCGAAACTTAAAAAAAAAAAATGTTTTAATAACAGAATAACATAAAAAACAAATCTTATATTCATTCAAACAAAACAAATCTGTTATAATTCAAGATGTGTTATTGAAAATCAGTGGCAAAAATCTGTGACTGTATGTGATTATCTAATGTAACACCTTTGATACAGCGATACAGTCTTTGGTCTCAGACTATTTGTCCACGAAATTGTCTAGCCAAAACAATTGGTGGCTATGAAGATGGGAAATGTGGTATATTGCATTTACAGGATTATAAATGCCTAATACAAATGATACACACTAAAAAAATCAGAGTATAGTTTAGGAAAAAAAGTTAAAATTGATCTTTATTTAGATTGCCAGGCATTCTTGCTCAATTCAACAATTTGTCTGACCTCAACTGAAGTTGTTATAGCTGCAAAGGTGACTATGTACACCCAATGGTTTCACGACTGGATCTAAAGGTTGTACTTTTTGTGAAGATAGATGTTTGAATGTTTTTGATTGCTGCTTCCAACATGACCTGGCAATAAGGGGCAAACAGATTTCTAAATCTGGGATAATATAGAATAGGTTGCAACAAACAGAAGTCATTAAAAGGTATTTTCTATTTTACCCTTTAAACATCAGTTTAAATGGTTCACTGACACTTTTTAGAAAAAAAAACATATTATATAGATCACATCTAGAAATAATCAAAGTCTGTCATATTTCATGTTTTTTACTTTTTCAGTTGTATGATTTTGCCTGTGTTTTAGTTTTGGGCAGATGGAGTGCCCTAAACGCCAGCGGCAACCTGCTTCAGATTAACAAAGCTTTCAGTGTGGATGTTGATTGTAGGCCAAATTAAAAACCTAAGCATAACCAATTTTATTTGTTTTTTTTTCAGGGTGAACAAGGACTGCCTGGTGCGTCTGGTCAAGATGGTCCCCCAGGACCTATCGTAAGGCTGTCTTTTCTGTCACTAGCATCTATTAATGCCTTTAAATCCAATTCACATGTAATACACAATGCAAAAAAACATCTTAAATTATGGTCTTCAAAACCTCAGTGATATGAGAAATAGTTTTATTTTTCATAGTAGAATTTACATGACAATTAAGTTAAGATGTTTTATGGAATGCATACAAATACCCAAAAAAGGCAAATAAACATGTTTCCTTTGATTGATAAACATGATTTATCAATTGCTCTTATTTCCTCTCCTTAGGGACCCCCTGGACTTCCTGGCATGAAAGGAGACTCTGGATCCAAAGGAGAAAAGGCAAGACATTATTATAATACTAATCATATAGCCCTTTATAGTGAATTCCTTATATTCAATAAGTAATCTTACCCAAAGCTTACAAATCCAGCAACCATCTAGGCATGTGCACCTTTAGTTTGTTCACCCCCTCCCAGAGAGATACAAAGCAGCTGTGCTCTGTGTGGCTTTTTTTATCAAGTGGACTAAATGAATATGTATTAGAATAAAAACATCGTCTTTGCTAAATTCACTGTTTTAATGCCAGATTCAAAAGCAGACACACAACGGCTGGTGTAAAGAAAAAAACTGCAGTAAACATAGAAATTATTGATAGGCAAATGCTTGACTCTAGGCATCCTTTCAACTCACCAGGCACTATGTATAAATTTGCATTCATCCCCCCCAGTAGTGACATATGCTCAAAAAATGAGCTTCTGTTGCTTTATTATTATTGTTATTTTGTAACTTGTTTAAATGAACAAATGTTCCTTTTCCAGGGTCATCCTGGTCTAATTGGTCTGATTGGACCCCCTGGTGAACCTGGAGAAAAGGGAGACAGAGGTCTGCCTGGACTTCAGGGTACTGGAGGTGGCAAGGGAGAACCTGTAAGTGCATGTCATAAGAATAGCTATTAATCAAAACATGTTCATTGGGTTTTATGAGTTATTGGTGGATTAATTTCCTCTTGGTGCAGCTTATCATTAAGCACTGATGAAATCCATCTTGTTGTATTTCATAAGGGCATTGCTGGTGCACAAGGTCCTCTTGGACCTCCTGGTCCCCCTGGACTTCCAGTAAGTTTTATTCATGTTGGAAATAGTCTTTTTTTTTCTGCCTCATTTTGACTTACCTCTATCTTACATTACTATTGACTTATTTTTTTACCAGGGTGCTCTAGGACAGAAAGGATCTAAGGGATCAGTTGTATGTTACTTTCAATACTTTCTTGGATTCTTGGATGTTTTTTATATTTAGTATTTAAGCGTTCTTAATGCCCCTGTCATGTTGTTTGCATTGTTTTTTAGGGCTCAACTGGTCAGAAAGGAGACCCTGGACTCATTGGACCACCTGGACCACCTGTAATTATACATTTATCTTGTTCCATATAATATAAAAGGGTTTAAGTTTCAAAGATTACTTTACCAAGAATATAATTTCTTTGAGAAGGTAAATCATAGCAAAATTTTGTTTTATTATCCAAATACATTTTAATATAATAATTCAAAGCATTTATTTTAAGAAAGACCAATTTCACACAAATACATTTAAAATAAATACATTTGATAGATAGATAGATAGATAGATAGATAGATAGATAGATAGATAGATAGATAGATAGATAGATAGATAGATAGATAGATAGACAGACAGACAGACAGACAGACAGACAGACAGACAGACAGACAGACAGACAGACAGACAGACAGACAGGTTTTGGATTAATTAGAAACAAGTGATAGAAAAGGATGAGACATACTTGGAGCTGATTGGAAAATAAAAGGAAACTTTTCAAAAACAGGATGAATCTGGGGGGAAAAAATATAAATAAGCACCCATCTCAGATATTTTTGTTAACAGACACTTTCCTTCTAAAATGATTAAGTTAAGCTATTTGCTAAGAATTACAACCAAAATATAGATTTTTGTGGTAGAAACAACACCAATAATATTGACTGCAAACTGCAGACAACCCAACAAACGCAAAGTAAACCATAGACATATGGAAATTATGGGAGCCATCTTGGGCAGGTCGACCTGCTACCTTATCAGGCCTATCAGAATACTCTTAACCCCACTAAGAATATTTAAATATGCTGAACCATTTGTTTATTTTCAGCAAAAGACAAAACTGTAAAAAGTGGTTTAAAATTCACTGATTATCTACTCTTATATTATCTCTATGAGGTAAACTGTTTGCATGCAGTTTCAACAGCACCACAGGAAGATGATTCTGGTGGGCCAGACACAGAACCTTGAGGGACACCTGCTGTGGCCTTTACTGTACAAAAAAGAAAATATAATCTGTACAGTTACAAATTTGTATAGCTATATTAAAAAACACTCAATGATTTAATCTGAAGTTAAGCCAAAAAAAAAAAGATTATGCATTTATGACTGTCTCATCAGTACTTTATGGCAGACAGGAAATGTATCAAATTTCAATCAAACTTTATTCTACACAGCAGTAAAGTTTCTCTTGACCAGAATAGAAATGACAGCTCTAAAGAGAGTCGGTTAGTAAAAAGAGATTCAATTATAATTTAGACTTTATGGTTTGAGGGTATATTAAATCTTAGTATAACGTCTAATTTTCTATAAGTGCTAATTTTTTATCTTATGTCCTGCAGGGTCCACCTGGTGACATGATTCAGCCGCTTCCCATTCAGCAGTCTGGCAAAAAAAGCAGGCGACAGGCTGAGATGCAAGGGGATGAGCCTTTGACAGACTATGGAATGGAGGGGCCGGGAGCGGAGGGAATGGATGATGTTTTTGGATCACTTAACAACCTCAAACAAGACATTGAGCGCATGAAGTTCCCCATGGGCACCCAAGACAACCCCGCCAGGACCTGCAATGATCTGCACCTCAGCCAGCCCGATTTCCCAGATGGTACAATGATAAAAAAAAAAAAAAGATTGAGCATTACTCCTTGATAGCAGAAATTAGTAGACTTTTAAATAGCTAGTAGATTAAAGGGAAACAAGAATTGGAAAATATAGAGGATGTGAGCTGTTTTTTTGATGGTTTGTCATGGATCTGTTTCTCTTTCAGGTGAATACTGGATTGATCCCAACCAGGGCTGCATCGGAGACGCCATCCAAGTGTTCTGCAACTTCACAGCAGGTGGAGAAACATGCATTTACCCAGACAAGAAATCAACAGGAGTGAGTATATTGTTGTTACAACACTACATCACATTGGTCAGGTAAAATATGCATTGTTCTTTTTACTGGTTTAGTAACACTTTATAATCATGTAAGGGCAACTTTAAGACAATACTGAAATAATAATCATGTTTTTTTAATTTTTATTTCTTTTTTTGCTGGTATTTCTTGTAGGTTAGAATATCCAACTGGCCTAAGGAATCTCCAGGTTCATGGTTTAGTGAATTCAAGCGTGGCAAGATTGTGAGTCAGACTTACAGAAATACCTTCCAGAATATATTGATAAATTAATGTTTTTGCTGCTTGCTTAAGAAATGTCTAAAACTTATATAGTCACTGCACTATATATATATATATATATATATATATATATATATATATATATATATATATATATATATATATATATATATATATATATATATAATCTTTTCCCTCCTACTTTTCTTCTTTCCCCTCTGATAACTCTGTAATTTTGTTTACCTCCAAACCCTCCCAGCTGAACTATGTGGACGTTGGTGACAACAGCATTAGCGCTGTGCAGATGACCTTCCTGAAGCTGCTTAGCTCTTCAGCACGGCAGAACTTCACCTACATTTGCCATCAGTCTGTGGCTTGGTACGACGCCAAGGCCGATAACTTCGACAAAGCGCTCCGCTTCCTGGGCTCCAATGATGAGGAAATGTCTTATGACAATAATCCCTTCATCAAGTCTCTGATGGATGGCTGCTCGGTAAACAGACATTTCAAAGTTTCAGTTTGCAATTAAAGTTTTTTCTAAATCCCATGAAATCCCACTAATCCTTACAGACATGTAGAAAGTTAGAGAAAAAGGGTGAGAATAGGTTCATATTTGACATGGCAGAAACAGTTGCCATCATAAGGAATATCCTAGCTTAAAAAATTAAACTAATGATAAAATTGGATGCTAATATTATTGCTCAACTAAAAAGGAGAGGAATTAATGGAAATGTTTAGTATCCTAAAAAATACATAGATTTCCAATTATTTAAATGTTTTTTTGTTAAAAATAAAGGGTTATTTTAAGATTATTTAACATTCTCTATTGCTTCTAATGTTTTGTAATTGCACTTGGGTCATATAGCTCAACTTTACCCCTTTTTGTTTTTTTGTGCAGATGAAGAAGGGTTATTCAAGGACAGTGTTGGAAATTAACACACCTCGCATTGACCAGTTACCCATCATTGATGTGATGATAAATGACTTTGGGGAATCCAACCAGAGGTTCGGCTTTGAGGTTGGCTCGGTGTGTTTCCTCGGCTAGACCCGTCCCTCTTCTCCCCAGCTGCTGAAGGACTATCTGAGAGAGTTGGCAATAACACCCACATAAGAGAGCCTTTAGCCACCACCTGTTCTCCGCAACAAAGTAAAAAACCTGTTTTCTTTATGGCAAAGAAGATCCAACAAGCTGGGAGAAAGACAAGAGCATGCCTTCACCCTGCTTTAAAAACGCTTACCAGGGGAAACTCCTCCTCGCCCTTGTAGGGCCAGAATCAAATGACTTTTATTTGAAATGAGAGTGACATCAGGAAAAGAACTTTTGATGCAGTGGTGGACAGTTGCATACTTAAAGCATTGGCAAGAGGATCCGCTCACCCAAAGCCCCGTCCTCCCTCCTCCCTAGACCTCCCTCCTCCCTAGACCTCCCACCTGTCCTCTCTGCATGCTCCAAGTGATGCTCTGTTTACATCACAGAGGTGCTTTTGTGCAGAATTGCAAAACACTTAAGGTGCTACCAATAGTGCATTTGAAACAAACTGTAATTAATAATATTTGAATTTTGTACATTACTGTTCCTCTCTGAATACACTCTAAAACCTGCATGTACTTCTTCAGTTTTAGTTAAATATTTGGTCAACTTTGTTAGAATACATTTTATAAGGATATTTAAAGTTTCTTAGACTGTGTTTGAAAACATCTATGAAACACATTTGACAAAAGCTTCAATTTGTAAGTATGAATCGATCCTTTTGTAAATATTACAAGTTTTATCCTGTTGAATTACCTTAGACATCAACTGGAACATGACCTCTAATTAAAAAAAAACAAAGCCGATAATGTATCCAGTAGGAACCTAAGCCATATTTAAATGAGATTACCATATAAATATAATAAGAAAGGGTTACTATTCCAGCTGTAATACCTCAATTTCCTTAAAAAATCTGCAGACACGTCAAATTTGCATTTTTTGTGATTTTTAACTAATAGCATTAATATTTTTATGACCATAAAATGTGTCCAGTTGTTTTCATACAATCCCAGAGAGGACCTGTGGATATTTCCTTTGTAACAATGAACAGAATGCTCCCATGTGCCTTAAATTGTTCATTAAAAAATATATATATTAAAATTGGGTTCTGAAAAAAGGTGGTTTGAATGTTTTTGTTTTTTTAGTTTCAGAAACAAGTAGTGTTTGCTTTTTATTTTTCTATTTTACAAAGCTTATATCCTTATCTATTTTCTCTTGGAAAAAGAAACACAGGATAATTTGTATTTGGGTCTTTTTTACTAAATTTTTCTTTATTTGCTTTTGGGTTTTTTTTTTTCTCTCTTTCTCCGACTCGGATTTTTTTTTTGGCATTTCTGCGTTATTGACGTAAAGTTCTGGAAATCAAAGCCACTTTCTAAAACCTGTGTAATCACAGTATGTCTAAAACCTATGTACAACTGCAATAAAAGTTTGGTGCTTTGCTAAGTGCACATTGCAATCATTTTGCGTTCCCTTGCTAAATGAATTGTTCGAGTGTAAAGTGGAGCCATTCTGTAATACTGAAGTGCTCTTTTTCCTAGTTTACATTGAGCTGAATCCTACATAACGCCACTGCAGTTATGTTTTTTTAAAAGCACGGCAAAACCAGGAGTTGGATAATCATGCAACATGGGGAACCCACAGTATTCATACCTCCTAAATGTTTTTAAATCCTGTCACTCTACCCAACAAATATTGATAAATCTGAAACTAATTAGGAAGAATATATACTTTTTATTTATCTAGTTTACTTCTTTTTACATATAAGAACCATGGGTTTGTTTTGAAGCCGTTTTACTCAAATACACCAAAATGTACTGCCAATATCCCTGCATTTCTAAAGAGATTCAAGAAGACTCTGACTGAAAGCATTCACTTCTTCATTTCAATGAAAAATATCTTTGTAGCAACAAATGCAGAGGTTATACATGTGTCCAAAGGAAAGAGTTGACCTTTGACGGCTTGTTTTTCTTTAAGTCAATTACTGTGATGTCACTACCCCAACAAATGATGGAAGAAATATTGTGTCCTCTGTCCCTCCTTCAGTCAAGTCTTTTATCCAGGGGATAGTGGGTAATAGTTTTATACTTATTCCTATTTTTCCTGAAATTAACATTCGTCTTCCTTGATTTTTTTTTCACAAAGTTGTCCAGCACCTCCTATCCATTGTTTTGGTCATCTCTGCTTCTTGTATAATCAGTTTGGAACTTAATGTAAGCATGTAAAAAGTTATTATCTGAAGTCTTCTGAGAATATCAGTAAATAACCATCAATAAGACCAAGAAACACAACCAACAGTTTAAGGATAGAAGTGTTGAGAAATGGAAGGCAGGGTTTAGATCTATCACAATGTCCGTAGTCTAGAATGTTTAAAGGACACCATTTCATCCAAAATAACAAAAAAGAAAAAACTGGTTACAAGTCCAAGAAAGAAATTGCTATCCAGCAAGACTAATAACTCTTAAGGCAGCATAAATTAGAGGAAAATCAGGGGTACCCAAAAAAATATGAAGGAGCTGCAGAGGTCCACATTAGAGCACTCTGCAGAAGATTTCCCACTGAATTTCTGAGCATTACCACCTTCTACTGGTGCCGCTTTATTTACTTCCACACCCAGTACATGCATAAGCCCTGGTCACACACCTCGGTACATTAAATATGGTGGTGATAGAACTAAGCGTTGAGGGAAAAATGAAGATATAGGTAGAACCATTTTGATGGAAGACATGTTGGAAAACAGACAAGACCTTTACCTTGTAGCATCTTTAAAAAGTACATCTTTAAAGCTCTTTAAATCCACGACTCAGCCTGCTACCCAGCCAAGTGAAAGCAGTGGTTGTGCTATGTCTGATTTTGACTCAGATGACTCCAATTCAACCTCCATCCCCTTCTTCACCATAGTAGCTAAGCTCTATCTGGCTTTCCCATGGTGCTTCTACAACCTTGTCTTTATGAGACTGTAAATCCTCCTTGACTCTTAGGGCCGGAT